GGCAGTTGACTGTTGTTGTTGTTGCGGCTGCTGCTGTTGCTGCTGTATTAGGCCGACACGTCAGCGTTCAGCCCCATTCAAATTGTCACTGTTCCAAACAAAAACCCGACGGAAGATAGCAGAGGGATGGCTTACCGTTTGCCCGAACAACGAAGTGCCTGTCTGAGGAGCACCAAAAAGTGATTGGCCTGTCTGCTGGGCTGTACCGAATAAACTCATGGTGCCGGTAGTGTCGTATACTGGCGGAAATGGTAGCCTGAAGAGCGCAAGAAAGATGGCGCGTGCTGATGGAAACAACTGAAGCCCGCAAAAGAAAACAAAAGCAACAGTGGGGATTCGCGGCAGAAGTTGGATAAATTGGTCGACGAAACGCGCCCCCAGTCAAATCGTATTGACAGGCAATAGGCCCGCGTTGGTTGTAATAATCGAGATCGTCGTGATATCGGATACTGAGTCGGGAGACACGGTTGTCGCGGTTCGCAAAGCCGTCGTTGCTGGGCAATTCCTGTAGAAATTTACGGGGTTGTACGTAGACAGAGACGGCGCCCACTTCTGAATGGCTCTCTCTGCGCAGGCGTTGAGGAGGTCAAAGCTCCTCTGGTCACTTTACTGGCGCGTTGGGTTTGTTGCGGCTCACCGAGAGTAGACCGAGGTGGAGGTCACTGGAAGGTGAGGCCGCGGGCAGCAACGCCAAGAACCTGACCTTGGCCTTCACCAGCCAATCATGAGCAGGCAGCCGCGATCCACTCACAGCCAGGCCATTCGAGGATAGCCGGCAAGAGGTACGACACCATCATCAAGCTACCCGTCCTAAACCTGCCCACGAAGCCTCGACTTGTTGCCTTTGCGATCAACGACAGGCTCGCCTGAACCGACAGGATGGCTTCTCGGATTCCCCAGTATGTGACCCCCCGGCTTACGCCCAGCTGCAGGAGAGCAATTGGCGACTTGCGACAGCGACCCCATCATCACTACATATAGTCTGCCGATAAAGAGGGGCTGACCATCATCACAAATCACAGGTTCAACCAGCAGGTCCTTTACGACACCACCCCCTTGCCGGACTCGATTCCCAAGGTCAAGGAGCTCGGTGCCAGTTCTGCCCCGCTTATGTCGGCCGCCTACTTCATCGGAGCCCGGTGCCGCGATTACAACGATGATTTTATGCAGTGTAAGAACGAGAACCCTGGAAAGGGCGAGTTTGAGTGTTTGAAGGAGGGCCGAAGGGTTACCCGATGCGCCCGGAGCGTGTAAGTCAATCTACCTGTTTGCAGATTTGGTATTGGAATATAAGACAGACGGCGGGAGAGAAAGGAGAGAGTCATGTCGTGGATAATCAGTATGGGGAACACTGTGGAGACACTTTGGCTAACATGGATACGGGGGTCAAACCTCCATCGCAGTATCGCCGACATCAACAAGTCATGCCTGGAAGAGTTCCGCAAGCACTGGACATGCCTTGAGGACAACAACCAGCAGCTCTGGCAATGCCGACCTGCCGAATGGAAGCTGAACAAGTGTGTTTTTGAGAACTTGGTAAGTGACGGCCGGTATCCATTCATCACCAGCACAATCCACATGGGATTAGTGCATGACTCGAGCAGAGCCATGTTGGCATGCGCCCCGTCCATAAGCTCTACCTATTACTTTCTCGATATCATCATGACTCACCACAAGTTCGTCCCATAACTGTTGTGCGATAACTTACCAAGTCTCTTCCCACCACAAAGGGTCTCAAGAAGGAAATCCCCGACCAGCCCCCCAACGTCACACCCGTCCACCTCAGGAAGCAGATGATCTATGCGCATTGGCCCATCCCCCGTTCCGCCGAGCCTTTCGTTCCCCCAACACAGACTGGTGACAACAACAAGGCGCCAGCTGCCGCCTCGTCATCGTCGTAAGGGCAATTCAGGCAGGAGTGAAGGGGAAGAAGGGGAAGGGAAGCCCTGGCAGAACAACAGGACTAGCAGGAAGAACAGAACTGCAAGGAGAATATGCCAAGGGTGAAGATAATTCCCAGAAGGACGGTATGGTAATGATCATAACTTCTACATACCCTCTAGGACCATATGGTAAACATGAATAGACAATGCAAACCAAGCGGTTGAGGATAGAACTGGGCGTTGTCTGTGTAGGCTGGCATGTAATGTGTCAGGGCAGGGGGCGCTTCGAGTTGAACGGCAGCACACTGTACATACGTTTATCCACCTTCGTCATAACGGCCATAAAGACAACACTCACGGTTTATATGTCATCCGGCAGTATGATTAGGTATTCACTCAGGATCCACATGATAAGTCTCACGCTTCCAATGTTAGAATCACGGCTAGGTCACTCTCCCCCAGGCTGACACAAACGACAGGATTGACAACGAACTGACAGCTTGGTCGTACACATGACCTATTTTAATAACGCTTCCAAATATCTTTTAGAATGATACGCCGTATAATAGGCTCGAAATAGTCTTCTACACTACGTTTGACAGACATTCGATTCCACAAGAGAAGGGGATCGTTCTGCAAGTACTACCAGTACGAGTTCAACCGCGCAACTATTGCACACGACACGGTAAGCCCTTGCTCACATACTTCGGTCTTTTCCAGATTCCCTCAGGCAGCGCGGCGGTCTCACCTTATCGTGCCTGTGCCTGTGCCTGTGCCATCTTTAACCGGGCTTGCCCGACTTTGACTTTTGTTGCTGCCTTCTTCGTCTGACACAACGCCTGGGGTGGGTTACTTACCGCCATCACTACCTACCTCTAGGGTTCACCCAACACATCCCTCGAATGCTCGAGTGAGCCCTCAAAGCTTCTCCTACTCGATTCTTCCACTTGATGAGTCGTTCGTTGTATGGTGGTGCCAAAAGGCTACACCTCAGGGTTTCCAGGTTTCCTCCGGGTCTCACCTAGGTTTGAGTCTGACTAAGGAAAAGGGCAATATTATGACATCAACCTTGCTCACTCTTATCCGACAAGTGAGAAAACACCCTCTCAGGAATAACATCTTGGGGGGGTTATTGCATCACAAATTATTTGAGCCGCACAGAGAGACAGCGACCGAGCGCCGATGGTAAGGTAGGATAAGGCATGACAGTGCCGTGGCTTCAGGTTGGTGACTATGATGGGGCAGAGATAGACATTTGTATCGGGTTCCATGTGATCTTTGAAAAACAGACGAGAAACAAAAAGAGAAAAAAAAAAAAAAAAAAAATATTTTTATTCGGGTAGAAAATTACGAAAAAAAAAAAAAAGAAAGAAAAAGAGAGAAGCCATGGGGAGAGGAGCCTTTGAAACTGTGTTGTAGCTGCGAGCGATACATCTATGTAAGTGGTTGTAAGACATACCCATCTGCGACTGATCAGTGAGTACTTGCATGTTTCAATACGCGGCTGTATCCGGAGATAAGTGTTGTAAATTATCTCTCTAGACCCTCAGCTTCTCGGCATTTGGATTTGGGGTTTGGGGGCTTGTGATGCGTCCCATTTGTCCCGTCATCATCCAAGCCTGTCAAGTAATCATAGTGGTGAGCAAGTGAACATGTGGTGAGGGTTATGTGGTAGGGTAGAAATGGTGAGGAGGACAGGTTTATGCGAAGGGGAACGCTGGAAAGACAAAAAAGGACACAGAAAGTTGGGTGTTGATGAGTGGCTTTGTGGTTGATGAAAGAGGTAGAACTCTCGTTCTGTATACTTGTCTCCATTGCTATATTATCATGGATGTGGAGAGAGTAGAATGCGGTGGTATTGCAACAGACAAATGCAGGTATGGAAATGAAGCAAGTGAGAATATTTTCAGGTCTTCTTGAAGATACAAGCATCAGAGCCTCCTGATTCAGCCTCACACATATCTCCCAGCTCCTCTGCAATAGCTTTCTTCTTCAGCAAGTACTTAGTCCGGTCTCGCTGTGAGAGACTGAGAAACTGTTGCAACCAGAACCAGGCAAACCTCCGTTTTTGTTGATTGAAAGCAACCCGGAGATGAGGTACCAGCACCAATGTCCGTGTCAGCGTCAGTTCAATTGTCTTGCTCACTAGGTAGTCCTTGTGGTCTCGGGGAGGAGGGTAGGACACTGTCACTCGGTGACACCACGACATGACCCCATAGCGATATCAACCCTCAGTCCCATACAATAGTTGTTGAAGTTTGTTGAAAACCCACCACGACTACGTCATGGTAGTGGTTCCCTTTGACGTTGTAGTCCTCATCACTTACCTAGTCCTTTCATCATCGGTGCCTACGTAGATTTGACTTGACTGATGTCGTTTCTGGGGCTTCTATCTAATTTTGTGTCTCAAGATCCAGCAAATGAGCGATGACCTGGTCTTCTTGAGGGGCGTTGGTGTAGTCTGCTTTCCTGTTGCCTGTCACTCGTCAGTCATTCAGGTTTGTGCGCCCTGTAAGCTTGGGGAGAAAAGAGTTCCGCGGTGAAATACAAGGAACCCCTTCCACGTCCCCTTTTCTACCCCTTTTCAATTTCTACACAGAGATAAAAGACTTACGTGAGCTAAGAAAGGTAATCATCACCGGGAAAGATGTTACAAACCCCGGAAGGAATTGTATAGGTACCATCGCGCAAGTCTTGCTCTTTGCAGCCGTTTGGTAATGGCCTGCCTGTGTGTGAAATGTAAGCAGGTAAAGGGTAGACAGACAGGAATTGGGATTTCGGCAATGAAAGGCAAGTACATTAGATATGTCTGTCGCGTATACCATGGCAACATTGGCGGGGCACACTATAGGTTCTCAGAGTGGATGATATTGAAAGGACGCTCATGCAAAAGGATCTTGTTGCATACTTGCAACTCAAATTTCTCGGTTACCGCCAGAACAAAACTCTTGCTGGGCGGGTGGATGCAATTTTCAAGGTGGATAGCCTTCGAATTGTTCTCCATGAGGGCGTCGGAAAGGTGTTGATATGCAGGTCCTGCCAAACTATATTGAACTGCCAACACTGCGGTAGACGGACGCTTAACAACAGTATCAGCACTTGGGAGTTGCGCCTACCATGGCGAGAATGCGGTTCCCCTCCGCCAAGGGAATCAGCGACTGCAAGCATTCTATTGACTTCATTCTACTCAAGAAACATAAAGCGTAAGTGGCGGCTTCAGCATCGTCATAGTGGCTTTCTTGTATGTTCTCAGAAAGGTTTAAGTGAGGTTAATAGTCGCAGATTTCGCTTGTGTTTGAGGAGTTTAGAGACACTGTGTTTCGGGAGGAGATAGAGCGCCGCTTGGCATATATAAACATATGTTTCTTGATAGAGGGCAAGTTTGAATTCCCTGGCTGTATCACCGAATAAATACCAAGGCACAGCAGTCGTGCAATTCATGGTTATAGCCAAATATGGAGCATCGTGGCTCCTGAGTAGTGACAGTTCCTGCAGAATGCCGCTGAAACTCCTTTCCAGTTGGCTGTGGACTCTCACGCAGGTTGACACAACCCTTGCTCGAAACGGAGGTCCAAAGACCAAGTTTAGGAGACACGCCCTCGCAAAGACCCATTGAGTGTCTGTTCTCAGAAAGTCCTTGTTGAGGAACCGGGGAAGAGAACACATAGGCTGGCACCACAATTCAACCCAGAAGTCCGAACAGTAGCTGTAGTTTTCGATCTCGGTCCGTTTTCGTGGTTTATTTTCGTAGACTGTGCTCTCCATCAAAACAACCCACACAGTCTATTGGATTTGGATGTCGTCCTAAAGGCTCATCTGAAACCATTGCGGGGTGTTTTCGTGATTTTGCGAGCATCCGTCTGCCCGCCTTTAGTCTTGGAGGATCATGTGATGGTGTCAAGCCTGATACGAGTTGAGCTTTCGACATTCGCACTTGAAGGCCTCATCTCCGTTCTTGCATGAGCTGGAGTCGATTTCCACCTTTTCTTCCTCGAAGAATTCGGAGAAACTCATACAGATTGCGCATGGGTACCCAAGCACCTGGCCAAGGGCCTGTACATGTCTCCTGTGTTCTGGAACTTCCAAAACTCTCTGAGGGAAGATCAGATTCCACCACGCGCACAATGTACAAGACAGGATGAAGTTGGCATGGGCACAAGGACCCATTCCCCTAAAAACTACCTTCTTGCTGTGTCGAGGAGCCCAGAACACAACCCGGTTAAATGGGCGTCAGCTCATCGAATCTCCAGCCAATTGGCGGGCTCGGTTGAGGGGCGACAGAGAGATGAAACAACAAATCAGGAACAAGAGAAGCGCATCTGGAGCCGTGTGTTCCTCTTTCCAACTTGGGCAAGATTGGATGGTGGTTTGAAATGCCAACACAACCTCCGCGGGGAACGGGGGAAGGTTCCACGAAACGGACCCATACGTATCTGACTTCCGGATCGTCGACATCGAACGAGTGTGAGCATGAAGGGTCATGCAAGTTTGACAAAGTTGATGAGATGAGTGATTGTGAACAGGATGTGGAAAAGGCACGGGTAGATGTATGCTTGTTGAATATGGAAAAACTCGATCATCAATTGAATGCGTCCATTTTGTGTGTGACATAGGTATGGATTCGAGTGACGAAGACTGAAGGGAGTACTGATCTAGGCTTGACAGAGGGGGTTGGAAGAACAATCTAAGAGACGAGAAGAACCTGCAAAGGCGCGCGGGCACCCATTGCAGCCGCCTTTAACCCAGAACCGTATCAGGTACCGACACCCAAGTGGACGGAGAATGGACTCCTCAGCCTTGTCGTGTTGATTGTAGTCCGACGATCACAATATTATGCTAACATAAGTCGAGGGTATTCCACAGACTGAAGTCCAGAACAGAGGGGAACGGAGTAGGCACAGTTCCCATAAAGGGCTGCGGAGGTTGTTCGCGTGGATGTCGCATATGCAAGTCTGATGCTTCCTTCGAGGACCGAAGCATCCGAGCATGTTCAAAGCTGACTGCATGCATCAAGCGATGCAGTGCAGCATATGGACGCGCGACGCATATCCTGGATGCGAGAAGAAGTTAAGCCAGACTTGATGATGCCGTGAATTGGAAGGCGCCAAGAGCTGATGATTCAATGAGAAGTCAAGAACCCTTGCCGCGCTTTCTTTTCCGGCATTCATTCTCGCGGGTCCGTCCGCCTTGATTGTCGTGTATGTACATGAGTCTTGGTACGCACGTACACGGCTTTGGATGCCTGGTATTTTCCGTTGCAGATCAATCGCAATCTTTACCAAGAGCGGCGCATTTGCGCATAATGGTGGCCGGGGGATATTATAAGGTGGGTTTCACGGAAATCTGGGCTCCTTATGAAAACAAGCCCGTCACCACAGCAACAAGCAGAAAGATATCGAGGAGAAACGTCGCCCATTCGAGGAAAAGGAACGAGTTAGTCTGCATATTTGCGGGGTGGGGATACATCGAAATTAGCGCCGTTTCAGCGTAGATTGGGGCACCGATGTGCGGGTCGGGTGTTTGACGCCATCTTTTAAGTATATCCCTGTTCCCTTATGCCTCGTTCCCCTATCCACTACCGACACACCGCAGAGAGCCCCGCTTCTTCAGGTACCAAATTGACAGGATTGGATAATGACGACCGGGGCCAGGAACAACCACAACGGCCCAGGGGCGGCTCGTGGATCACCTCAGCCAAAGGCATGAACCACCTCGGGCCAGCAAGGGCCAACCCCGCGCCGCTGTCACACACTGAAGTGGTGTCCTGCGATGCGCTGAAGATTGAGTCGAGAACGAGTCTGTCCAGTAGGCCGCGTTGGAGGGAGTCTGGAGTGTCTGCCGTGGGTCAGGACGTCTCATGAAAACGAGCACAAGCGAACGGGACAGGCCAAAAACGGAGCGTCATCCGCATCGCCCAGAGACATGGGACGAACTGTGAGCGTGTAGCACCTTCGGGGAAGGCGAACCAATCAAGTACCGCCCCGGGTGAGCATCTTCTGTTGCATTTGGAAAAAGTCCATGTCTGGGGGATTCACCCTGGGATCAGAACATCTTCCTTTGTTGGGTAGGTATCGACCGACCACCTTCCTCGCTGACGACGGCCTAGAACTTCCATACCGTCGGTGTAATACCCACACCGCAGCTGCCATACGAGAATGGTCTTATAACGTAACCATCACAAGAAGCTAGGTACACCTGTGCTGCCATGACAAATGACGGACAATCTCTCACATTCAACGCCAGATGAGCAGACGGCAGTTGTAGTATATGAAGTCTTCTTTTGCCCCAGGCGCTGGGCAGTGACCACTTTGACCGGCTTCTTGGCTTTTCTCATCGGCCTGTGTGTGCCGATGACGGTTCTCGCGACTACGTGCCTTGTGTGGTGCCCGACATTGCATTTTCCATACTATTGTTGATGATCACTCTCGGTGGACCATCATATGATTGCCGTCACTTGTCAAAACTGATCACTGGTGACGTCTGTCCCATTTTGCGATCAAATTAACGCCCCGCAAAGGCCAGTAAGTACCCTGTACCCCCCTCGAACCCGTCACGGTGCCTGAAATCCGAAAACCCACTGCAGCGGCGGTTTGATCAAAGGGGGTCGACTCAGTCGAGTACCCGCCTAGTCAAACGGCCAGGACCAGCTTGCTGGGATTTGGTCATCGCGGTCACTAGTGCCAAGCCCGGCCCTCGCTTTACCCTAACACACGACGGCGCTCCTTCCGTCTTAATCCAGGGTCCCGTTCATTAGCTTCGTCGCCTTACCGGGGGTTGACGTGGTAGCAGGTCGATCCTTCCACACTTCCGCAACCCGTCTCTTTTCTTCTGCCTGCGCGCACACCCCCCCCCCCCCCCAGTTGGTACCCTTCCATTCACTTAAAACTTCCCTTCATCACCCCGCCTTCTCTTGTTTTCTCTCCCACGAGGATTTCCATCAGGCTCAGCTTGTTCGACGCTCGTCAACCAACTTCCGTTCACTCCTTTGAACCCACCGGCCTGGTATTTGCCCGCCTTACATTCCTTTCCCCCTCCACGCTCATTTCCGGTTTTCATCTTGGGGTGACGACGGCGTTGTCCTCTGAAACCTCCATCTTACCTTGATCCGACCTCGACCTCGTGCTTGTGGTGACCTTTCGTGGACCCCGATCGAGACGGCCTGCCAAGCAACCCTCTCTATCTCTCGACATTGTCACTCCCTCGACCTGATTGTCTTCTGAGTCGCCTTCTCGGAGAAAGAGAAACCAGCCGGCTGTTCGATTTCCGACAACCGACCCGGTTCTTGTCTCACCCACAGCTCACTTGAGTACACGATCACAATCGACGTCCTTGAAGGATATCGGTTATCGGTAACAGCAGCGCTGCCACCAGCTGGATCTGTCTACATAACTCCGTCCCCCCGGATCTTTCATCCATCAGCTCAAGGGCCCACCCGTTTGAGAAGAAAAGTAAACCTCGTCAACAACATCGACTACAACTGAAGGTACGTAACTGTTCAGCCCTGTCATACCCACCTTATTCTTTGTTTGGTGGTTCACCCCTCGTTCATCCCATGGCGCACAACTACGTTGTTCTTGCAAACAAAGACGGTCTCGCGTGATGTTCCTTACCCGCCCGAGGAAAGGGTCTCGCACGGGGAACATGGGGAAAACCAAATTACTTCCTCACCTCCATGAGGATGATTGCACTTTTCATTGGATTTTCCAACCTTCGTCCTTTTCACCAACTTTACGAACATCGCAACTGTCGATCCTTAACCTTCACTTCACCACGATCTTTATTTCTTCTTTTCTGGGCCGTTAAATCTGTCCCAGTAACCTCTTGCACTTGTCTAACTCCATATCACCACAGACTCATATTTTTCAAGCGATCCGACATCTGCGAAAATGAAGAGCTCTCTGATTCTCGCCGCCTCTGGCGCTCTCATGGCCTCGGCCAGCCCCATTCTCCAGGATAGACGCGTCCACTTCACCACCAAGGTTGTTGAGGAGTGGGTTACCGTTACCGTCACTGCGGGAGGCGTGCCTTTTGCTACCGTCAACGCCTTCCATGAGCATGGCCCTGGCCGCCCGGTGTACTCTGCGCATCCTCAGGAAGCTTCTGCGGCCACGGTCCAGCCGACTAGCCAGGCTCCCGCCCCGGTGCCCACCCCTTCTTCCAGCAGCATTGTCGTCGTTGCCCCGCCCCCTGCTCCGGAGACTACTTCGTCTACCGTCATCATTGTTCCGGTTAGCTCCAGCACTCAGCAGCCCGCGCCGACTACTGCGCCTGCTGTCGTTGCTGCACCTCCTGCTACCACTAGCACCATGCAGGAACGTGCTACTACCAAAGTAGACTCTCCCGCTGCCCCTAGCGGTAGCGACTACGCCAGCACGCTTCTCTATCACCACAACATCCACCGCAGCAACCACTCTGCTGGTGCTATGACTTGGGGAGAGACCTATGCCAACTATGCTCAGCAAGCTGCGGCCTCATGCGTATTCCAGCATGACCTGTAAGATATTCCCAGACCATGCTTTTAATTTTAATTGTACTGACAAACCATAAGGACTCCCGGCGGTGGTGGTTATGGTCAAAACATTGCCATGTGGGGCTCTTCCGACAAGCAGACCGTTCAAGATGTCGGCGCTGTCAAAGCCGGTGCTCAGGCCACAACTAACATGTGGTATAACGGGGAGCTTTCCCTTTGGCCTGCCTCCGACTATGGAAAGGCGAACCCGGACATGTCTAACTTCGAGGGCTGGGGTCATTTCTCTCAGCTCGTTTGGAAGGAGTCCAAGGAGCTTGGCTGCTTTACCCAGTTCTGTCCTCAGGGTACCATGAGCTCGCAGATGGACGTCTGGTACACTGTCTGCAACTATTATCCTGCCGGTAAGTTTTATCGATCCAAGAGCAACGAAAAGTCACTAACACTCTTCCCAGGCAACATGGGCGGTGAATACGGCAAGAACGTTTCCCCTCCCCTCAACGAGGCTCTCGTCGTTGCTTAAATGCACCCCAAAGACTTGCATTTTCGCAGGCAGGGGTGATACGAGGGCTTCTTCGCTCTGGCTACACCGTGGCTACACTCCCCGCCACAGCTCCAGCTGTAGTATGGTGCGCACATGTACACAGAACCCCGTTAACGACATCTTTGTTTCGATATACTTCCCATACGCCTGGGGCGCGCAAATCATGATCGGTTTTCCTTTGCTTGGAGAGGTCTGTATCTACATCGGCAGTTGCGCAAACCAGCATGCATCGTCCAGTTATGGCAACACCTTTTGCCTTCATTAGCAACGCTGAAACGCTACACATCTGGATTCTTACGACGACATGACATTTCTGTTTCAGAAAGAAAACAAAGACTACCAAAAGGCTATCATGGGAAACATCTGGAGACAAAGGGACCGGTATCATGGCGGTATCTGCATCATTTTCTTTCTTTGGGTGTTGAATGTTATTGGCTAGCTGCGTCAGCTGACTGAAACATTCTTCTTTACCCTGGTTCACTTCTTGAACATTTATCTCTCCATGTTGTACGTAAGAAAGCTTCGATTCGTTTTTGATTCCTCTGGACATCGGATTTCATCCGGTTATCTATATGGCTTGGGGTTATACCTTTGTTCACTTCAGGAGTTCACTCCAAGACCCGAAAGTGTTTTTAAGGAGGATTGCTTGGTTCGGTAGATATTGCTGTGCATGGTGCAGTTGCATGTTGGTTTCGGGGTTACCTGACTACGTGTCGCTGAAGGCATCATGGGGTTTTTGGAGCTGGGACCGCAAGTTCCTCATCCAGTAGACACAGTCACTAATACAGACCAAGTTCACATACCGTATCGACTGCCCAGGTTGCCCTGAGAATGATTCGCAAGGGATGATGCTTCATAAACAAGTTTCACTTCGACCCTGAACGCCTGCCCGCATCCTACTCCTCTGCTCTATAAAGTTACCCTCGAACCTTTTTTTCTCTTTTTCCCTTTCCTCATCTCTAGTCCCATAGGCCCGAACCATCAGTTATATCATAAAGTAACTATTTCATTTCATTCCTCTTCTTATCCCGATTGCCCAACTGCCCAAAGGTGCCCGTTCTATGGTCCCAAAACAAAAAGAAAAAGAAAACAAAGAAGCTTTTCTAGGTAGGCGCTTAGGTTCTTTTCAGGTAATTGTAGTACTTATGGATAAAGAGAACCCTTTCTTTCTTCTCGTGCTTCCAACAAGAGTCTGTCCTTCCCTTATCCGATGCGTAGCGACCAAGAGAGAATGAAGTCGGCCACTCCACTACCCGGACGTTCATCTAGGAACGTTCGACAACGAGGATGACACGACGACTACGGTGACATCGACATGTACCATATCCTATCTTGTTTATGCGAGCCCCTTTACTCAACCTGCTTCTCACACCCAATCCGTCCGAGCAATTCCTTCCGATCACTATGACCAGGCAGACTCACACCCGTGGCAGTCACTCCGCCGACGCCGTTACCGGCACGTCTTCTCTCCGCCCAGTTCTTGAGGTCAAGCTCATCAACACCCACCTCCTCCGCCAGCGCTTGAGCCTCCTCGTAAACAAACTCAGTTTCATCCTCGTCATCCTCTGCATCAACATCCTCACAACCTTCGTCATCACTGCGCGTATCATCAGCTCCTTCGCCCCTGAGCACGCGTAGAGCCACGCGGATGATGAGTGAAAACCACATGATGGTCAACGCCTGCAAGAAGAGCAGCATCGAGAGGAAGGTCCACTTGACCGTGTCATCATAGCACACCAGTCCGTCGGGGTTCCAGAGCGGCTCGAGCAGGTAGAGAGCGCCTTTGTCAGCGGGCGGCTGGAAGGGACCCTTCAGGTTTCCGGGAGCACCGGAGAAGCAGCCGTACGGTATGATGGAGGTCGTGTGAGCGTAGACGGAGTAGCAGACCGTCAGATACAAAACATGGCGGGCGACGAACCAGGAAACCATGAAGACTACGAACATGAAGTCGCAGGCGCTGGAGTGGCCGAGGTATTTGAGGCACTTGGCGAGCTGGAAATGGGGAACGATGTGAGTATTTGGGATGCGCGGTATTGGTGGTAGGGAGGAAGTAGACCTACCGGAAGGAACAAATCTACAACGTCCATCAGGACAAGGATAAGGTTGCCCACGCGGGTGTGGCCGTATCTGTAAGAGGCGTAGATGAGGCAGATGGTGATGATGTGATGCGTAAACATCTGCCAATGGTCCTTTCTGCGCTCCTCAATGTTGATGACCAAGATTTGCTGCAGCCAAAAGGCAAGCTGGGCAAGCATGTATCCCTTCATAATCCCGGTGAGCTCGCGGTTGGGCCAGTTCGTCCAGAGCTCTCGGAGGTTGAAGAAGTGCGGTGATTGCCAATAGATGTACTATATAAGAAAAAAAAAACATGGCTTGTCAGTCCCCAAACTTATGTGTTCACCCGGATCGCCCCGGAAAGAAACGGCGGGCGGCAACGAGGCGACCGAGTGGCTGGCACCATGGCATGGCAAGGAGAAAGAAAACATACGAGACCGAGAGTCCAGAAGACGCTGTAGTAGATCAGGAGCCAAGCCTGTTCGCTAAACCTGGTGATGTCCTTCCTCTTGGAAATGCCCTTGGACTTTGCGTACGGCGCGAACAAGTATTCCAGCGTGGCGGCGCGGAGGCCGGTAAAGAGAATGATGCAGAAGAAGATGAGGAAGCCGTCATCCTTGCCGAGGCCGTATTGTCCGGTCGTTGGGTTGTAGTACGAGAGCGTGAAGTACTTTCCGGTGTGGGAGCGGGCGCGAGGCATACATCCATGGGCGAGGAAGAGGAGGGCAAGGAGGTTGAAAGCGAAGCCTGCATGGAAGAGAAGTTAGTGTTTTGCGTCCTGACTAGAGAGTGTCTTTGTTGCTCTAGGGAAATGTTCACATACCGATCTGATTCTCAACGAACCAGCGCGTCAGCTGTTTCAGAGGGCCCTCTCCCTTCCTCTTGACGCGACGAACAAGAACGATGTTTTCGTTGCGCTGCATGTAGAGGGGACCATTCATATTCTTGGGGTTGCCAGACTTCTCGCGTTTGACAGTCCTCCGCTGAGGTGGGAGAGCTGCGCTGCTGCTGCTGGTAATTCCGGAGGAGGGAACGGAGGATGTCGCGGTATTCCGCCTCATTCGTGAGTCGGGGCCATTGCTGGAGCTTTGGGTATGGGAATCGCCCATGATCAAGCTGGGAGCTGGCGACGGCGCGCCAATTGGTTCGCTGCCGGGTAAACAACTGAAGAGCAGTGGACTGATGAACCCTGAAAGCGGAGGCGGCAGTGGAGCTGAACGCAGCTTTCAGAAGCTCAACAATGGAGCAGATTCGACGAGATTCTTGGTGACGAATACAGCGCAGGTCGGGGAAGCACTGAGTCGAGTGATCGAGTTCGCAAGGTGGGCGACCAGAGGAACAGAGCTGGATCCAGAGATGCGGGCGGAGGAGGGGATTCCCTGTTTTGTCGAAGAACTATGCGCTGTGTTGCACAGTGAGATAGCGAATGCGATACAAGCAACCACAAAGAGACACTATTGTCGCCGCCAGCGTGTCTGGTGATATAGCGAATGTGAAGAGGAGGAAAAAAGTTGGGACAGCGCGAGGAAGGATGGTCAAGGAAGAAGGTATGGACAGCTAGATGAGAGCAGGACGAGCCCCGAGGAGGAGTGCTGGGCTAGGCGTGATGTGGATCAAGGAAGGTCAACCTTAACAATACGAATCACCCAATGTTTGGCGATTTTAAAGAGGGAAGAGGAGGAAAAAGAAGACTGCGCACATGAAACGAGGGACGGGAACAGGGTCGCCTCGTCTGTCACCGAAGAGGGGAGGGGGGGGGGGGGGGGGGGGGCAGAGAGGGGGGGGCTAGGCGTTCGTAGTCTCTTTTGGCAATGCTACAACTCTAAAAGCGGCAATGAACACCGCGAAGACACCACCTTTCAACGCACGATGACTGGCGTATGCTTGGGCGGATGTGTTTTGAACACTTTTTGGATTTTGGCCAGATGTTAACCCAAGCCAGGTGGGAGGAGACAAGGCGATCCACCAGTAGCCCAAGGCGGTGGGGAGGGGGGGAGGGGAAGCGGTGGCCCGGATGGCAGGCGAGGGTCTGTTGGGCACGTCCTTGTCGCTTGTCTGGGGGAACTTTTTTTTTTTGAAATCAAAAGGGGAAGCTGTCTTGGCAACTTTTGGGACGAACATGTTAGGTTGGATTGATTTGGATTGTGATTGGACCGAGCTATCAGAGCTCCCGTTTTTGCAGCATCGATGCACAGACAGCAACACCCTGCCAAGCCCACAGAAACCCAATGGCGGGGAAGCATGGACCTCCCTTTTTGGCCTGGCATGAGATAGAGGCTCGTGATAGGATGTCATTGGAAGTCATGAAGAGCAGAATGACTTCAAAATGTCTTCAATGGGAAACTCTTCTTCCTTTCCTTCTTGCAAACAATCACAGCCATTGAGGTTGAATGCATGGATGTTTCCCGCCCCTCCTTTTCCTCCACCTCACATCAATGCTGGCTGGCTGCTGCAGACTGCAGTGCCTGCTGGCGGCTTGCCTGCACCTTCGCATCCCATCCCACACATGTGCCACCGGACAGCTCCATGGTACGACGGTAAGATGGACGTTGCTGCCGTGCTGTATGTGTATATTCTCTTCATCCAACGTCTTTCTTCGCCCGTCTTTCATTGGGAAGAAGAAAAAAATGAAGCATTAATGCCATTGGCAAGTAAGGTAGTCTCTATCAGATGATGTCTGCTGCGGACAGGAACTCGAAACCTGTTGTCAGCGATGATCATGAAAACCTGGATGGCGACCTCGCAATTTGCACCAAACGATTCTGTTGCAGTGAGTTGTCAAATTCCTAGTGTAGGGTGAGAGTTGAACAAAGCGGTCAAGGATCAGCCCGGGCAATGCCAAATCTCCAACCCCTATCTTTACTGACTGTATCCTGTGAGCCAACCTTCAACAGGAGGGTATTCATCCGGGGAGAACTGGCATGAGGTTTCGTCGAAGGTGATTAGCTCTACATGTATCCGTGTCTCACATGGGGGGCTTGAGGTTAATTTAGACTTTTCTGGGCTACCCTTCGTCCCCTAAAATACCCTGAATACCCAGGGTGTCAGCCAGTGAGTCTTCATGTATTGCACAAACCAGCAAAACACACAACTTAGTAACCAGTACCAGTGAGCACCATTACAATCGTAAAAGCAACTGATCAAGACATCAATCATAAATGTAGTTATCATGATGTCCCATACGCACCACAAGCGCAACGTCGTTGTTGTTTCCCCGAAGTTGCCCCTCACCACCCGACTTGCAATGTACAACTACTTAGGTACCTACCTAAGTACAGTCAGAACCCCTGCTTTTGCAACTAATACCGGCAGCCCAGATTTTTTGCAAAAGAGGGGGGTTTGCAAAAGGGAGGACAGGAGCACAGACCAGGTAGGAGTCTTCTAGCCACTCAGTAATAGTTAGAGGTACTAGAAAGTGGGTCCCCTAGAGTTATTAGACCCCGGTATAAGGGTATAAAAGTGCCCGCCCCACTAAATTCGACCCCTGCTTTTGCAAATCCGGGCCGTCAGCGTTGCAAATTGCAGGTTGCAGGAATTACCACCAGAGGGAATGCAGGCAGTCGAAATCTTTTGCAAAAGGGGGGATTTTGCAAAAGGAGGGGGTTGCAAAAGCAGGGATCTTCACTGTACAGTAATGTCCCCTGTTATTGCAACACAATTCCTGCAGCGATTTTTCTTGCAATAAGTAGGGTGTTTGCAAAGGGGGGATCCTATGCACAGACCAGGAGTAGGCGTTTAAGCCACTGGAAGACGCCGAGGGGCCGGAAAAGTGGGTCGCCAAGCCCCAATATGAAGGTATAAGTGTTCACTCCCTAAGAAATCCGACCCCTGTTAATGCAAAAATCTAGTCATCACTATTGCAATTAGCAGTTAGCAGTCCCAGTATGGGTTTGTAAATCTTGCACTCACGAATCTGTGCAATAAGTAGGGTGCTAGCATTAGGGGGGGGTTGCAAAAGCAGGGGACATTACTGTAATGTAGTGTAGAGCCCCTTTTCTGTAGTGTACCGCGATCCACGCGCGCTTGGCACAGCAGTCCTAACCCTTGTCAGGCGCCACTTCGTCCACCTTTCTGAGCGCGGTGAATCTTGAGCGCGTAAGTGCATGGTCCAGATTTCTTACAGCTCTTGGCATCTTTGACCAACGTCGTCATCGCAACCATCACCAACGCCAATCTCAACAGAAAATCGTGATTCCTCTGATTAGGCGTGTCACCCCAGCGCACACGGGCGCCACACAAAAAAAAATTGTACCGTAAACTCTCATGATCAAATAACTGCACAACCATTGCCATTATCCGCACGACTGTCCTAGTCTTTCCGATTGACCCGACGCAAAGGAGGTGGAAGAAAGCCACAAGAAGCAGCGGAGAAACCCCTGCTAAACCCCTACGATGAATCAAATCCGCGCCATCCAAGCCCTCAACAAGCGCGAAATCGAAGCCGGCATCCCGCCCGAAGCCTCTTGGCACGTTGACTACCGCGACACCGCCTTTGTCTACTTCGGCGGCTTACCCTACGACTTGTCGGAGGGCGATGTGATCACCATCTTCAGCCAATTTGGCGAGCCCGTCTTCCTAAAACTAGTGCGCGACAAGGAAACTGGCAAGTCCAAGGGTTTCGGCTGGTTGAAATACGAGGACCAGCGCAGCACAGATTTGGCCGTCGACAATCTGGGCGGAGCGGAGATTGGCGGGAGACTGATCAGGGTCGACCATGCCAGATACAAGATCAGGGATGATGAGGATCCAGAGGAGGGGAGGATTGGATGGGAGGATATGATGAGGAAGGAGAGGAGGGAGAAGGGGTTGGCGAGTGAGGTGGATGATACTGGAGACGAAGAGGAGGATGACACAAAGCCGAGGAGGCCGTTGTTGAAGGAGGAAAAGGAGCTGCAGTTGCTGCTGGAAAATCATGACGATGATGATCCTATGAAAGAGTTTTTGATTGAGGAAAAGAAGAAAGAGGTGGAGGAGGCGCTGAGAAGGGAGAAGAAGAGGGAGGAGAAGGAGAGGCACAAGTCTAGTCGGAGACACAGGCACGAACACGGAGACAAGGACCGGGACAGGGAGCGGGGTGGTCGCCATCAACACCGATCACACCGGTCTCCGAGGAGAGTTGAGGATGTCGACAGCGACATCAGAGGCCGCGACCGCAGCCACGATGACCGCACCCGGAGTCGTGATGACCGTCCTCGTTCTCGTGATCGTCATCCCGACAGGAAGAGACCAAGGTCCGAAAAAGAAGAAACCTCCCCTGCCAAAGAACAAAGAAGAAGACGCGATGATGCGGACGACGTGGAGATGAAGGACGCAAATTACGAGGATAGGCAGTCGCGGCGAGATTTCTCCAGGGACAAAGACCGACATAGGAGAGATAAGGAGAGATATCGGGACCGGGGCCGGGACCTGGACAAGGAAAGAGCCACAGATAGGGACAGACACAACAGCGAAAGACATGACCGCGAACGCGATCTTACAAATGACCGTGAGCGCCGTCGCCACCGCGATTTGGGTCACAGGAGCGAACGCAAGAGCAGCAGAAGTAGGAGCAGGAGCCCATCGCCGACGTCGAGAGGTTAGACGTATAACTAGTTACTTAAGCTTGGTCGCCTAAAGTACGCTTCATGTTTACCCCCAAACGATCATTCACAACTGTGATGACTCGGTGAGTACAACCTGCTGTGTATTGCCGTGTCTAGGACAAGCTTCTCTTCTTGTGAGGATAGACTCTAGCAAGTACCGTCAATGACTTTTGCTGGGGTTGTAGTTCTCGTTAACGGAGTAGCACAAATACATCGAAGATGTTTGTATTTAGAGTATTTGTACTCGCTTCCCTAATCTAATGCCTCAATATGCTCGTGACGATGTACAATCCTACGTCTTGTTATAAAGTGCAACAACCTGAAAACGCTGTTACCGTTCAGACACCCCCAGATACAACGGATGAACCAAACGATGTAATACTGCAGACCCAGACCCTGCGTGGATGTCGTTGCACACACACCTCCTATGATTCCTCCATAAACCCCCAGACAATGCTACTTGAGAACGGAATCGTCAGATCCATCATCACTTCCCTTCAACGCCGGTACAAGTGTCCAATCCCCCAACCGTTCGTCCACCTAAGGCGTCTCCCCACCATATCTTTTCCACCCAACCCTGACCAGCCGGCGTCCTCCACCCTGATACCCATCCTGCTGCCCGCCCTCCTGGATCGCAAACTTCTCCCACTTGGGGTCTCTCCCAGCTCCAATGACCACCATCTCCGTCTCGCTGATCCAGCCCAGATTGCCCTTGAGCGGGCCCCCGATGATGGCTAGGCCCCCGTCACGCGTGAGCGGCTCGCGGCTGCCGTTGGACACGGGCTCGTCAGCCATCTCGAACTTGGCGGAGGCAAAGGAGTATGGGTCTGAGAAGATGCGCGGCATGAGAGGGAGTTTGGAGAGGAAGCCCCAGCGACCTTGTCCATCGTCAGCGGCCATGTCTGAACCGCCAATGTTGCTATTGACCATGACACCACCGCCGCCGCCACTGCTTGATGCGACGGAGTAAGGGCTAGAAGGGCGGTTGTTGCTCGTAACTGAAGGTTCGCCGGCGGCATAGGCAGTGCCGCCGTTGCTAGTAATCGGTCTTGTGCCGCCGGGGCGAGTCACGTCGAATACGTGGAGTGTCGATTTGTCGGAGGTGCAGGCTAGATACTTGCCAGAGGGACTGAATCCGATGGAGAAGATGATGGCTTTGTCGATACCGCGGCGCAGCTCGTATAATCGAGCACAGTTGGATGTTGCGTAGACGCGGATGATGGTTCCCTAGCGCGCTAGTATTAGCAAGCCCTCTTGTATCCAATGTGATGTTCCAATCCCTGAAAACCTTACCATCTCGCTCGCCGTAGCCAGCAACTCGCCATCCTGGCTCAAGGCCATCGCTCGCAGCGCCGACGTGTGCGCGGTTATGATGCTGACATTGCCGGTTTCAACCTCAACGAGCTGGACGTGGCCGATCGCCCTGCCTGGGAAGGCAATGCGGTCCGAGGAGAGACAGCACAGGCCTAGAGGGTTATCGGTCGTTTCATATGTGGAAAGCAGCGCGTGGGGTTTGGCCGTTTGGTAGACTTGCACTCGGTCCATCAACACCAGAACGATTCGCTTGCTGGACATCTTAGCCCCTCGAACCAATGACGAGGCGCTGATGACGCCTACTTGTTTCTTACTTTTATCGTCCCATAAAACGAGCTATCATGTAGCCTTTTTAGTATATCTTTGACCATATCGCACAGCTTGGAGAAGAATGAAAGTTGACATGACCTGCCTTGTTTCGGCTCAACTTTGTCTGCCGTCCACCACCAACTAGTCCAAGAATGTTTGTGCGACCAAGCATCTGGACCAAGCCGATACCAGCACCGAAGTCTGTACGAGGACATATCATCAGTAAATTGCTCTATTGCTGAAGTGACAGTACGCGGTTTTGTCTCGACTTACCACGAGAGGTTCGTAGAACGCATGATCCCGACTCATAAACTAGATGAACATATGCCATCAGTGTTTGTCCCATGTGGATAACATCAAAACGGCAAACAACAAGGCTTTCTCGAGTCTTACTGCGGAAACCATGGTCTAAACCGACGGCGAAGCAACTGTTATCATGGTTGAAGGTAACCGACAGCACGGGTGCGAGTACCGGGTGTTCGAGGATCCTTCTAGTGTCCATCACTACCTCTACGGGCTGGCGCAAGCCAACAAGTCGAGCGGAGAAGGGATGTGTTGATAATGGGGAAGGTTGTTCTGGCTGTGAGCCGAACTCAAGTATATCACCACCCTGGAACCTCGTTGTGTAGAAGCTCCTGGAGGGATGACTTGACGAGGATAGGTACCTAGATGGTATTGCAAGTACACAATCTAAAACGGTGACCAAAGGCGTGAAGCTGCTGCTAATTCTTTACCTGCTGACAGAGTGTGGTTGGCGCACTAGATGTCCAATGCTCGCTCAGCCTGGACGTCCTTTTCGAAGATAGAGAGCGGATGTGGAGGTTCGGGCCGCGGAGGTGGTCAGATCCAACGCGGCCATGAATGGTTCGATGATCAATCTGATAAGAGGGGGTTCGAAATGATACAGAGTGGTAGCTCTGCAGTGAGATGAAAGGGATAAGCTTGCTGAGAAATCGCTGGGAAACACTAATATACGTAGGAGCTTGATAAGTAGGGGAGGTTGTAAATGGACGAGATAGGGCAGGTGTCGTATACCAGGCAGTTGCGACGATGTCGTTAGTCGTCGACATGTATCGATAGTGTGGATGATATAATGTAAGGTAGTACCTGCGTGCGAGCAGCAGTCACGATCGGTTGATAAAAGCTCTCAAAGCAGGCGCCCCAACTATGCCACGTCCATTCGACACTCTGCACACAGCAGTATGTCGAATTTGCGGGAGTATCAAGTGTATGAAGTAATCCAAGATACACCAGAGCCGTATGCTTTCTCCGCACAACGTTCGTGATCGAGCGAGAATTGTGTACCTATGGCTTTGTTCAGGCCTGACGAGACCTATCTTGTAGGCTCTTTAAGAGAGAGACAATGAGATCAGAAAACAACAATGACGGGATTCAGCAGGGGCGGGCCGACAATGAGAGCCTCGCATGGCGGCTCGGTTACCAAGTGGAATGTTGGTAGTGTGCAGGACGTTGACTGGAGGAAGGGAAGTTCTGGAGTCTAGTTGCAAGTAAGGGATGGATTGCAAGAGGAAGTTCCCGCCTGCCCCGCGCCGATGACAAGTACCTCTACGCCCCGGGAGTTGGGGACAACGCCTGGATCTCTCGCGATGAACTAGACTGAGCAAGCCCCGGTGATGGATCGACGGGATCGAAGCACATCCAACACGGCATCAACCTGATGATGAAGACGGGAAGCATGACAGCATGACAGCAGACTTGAGCGATAATGCATGTATGCACTATGTACATTAAATGGCTGACAGCTGGCAATGCGCTTGCTTGCCCATCCATAGCTGCACCCAGTTGCCCACTCTCAGAAGCTCGAATCACCGGGAGGGGTCTGCAAGACAGCCTGGGGTTGGGGTTACACGCCTTTCCAGAATTAGTCAAGCGTCAGGAGCTTAGCAAATGACCCCCTGATTGCCATGGAGCTGTTGTTAATTGCGGATTGGGACAGGTCTTGCCAATTCCCATCTGATTGCAGCTTCAGGTTAAGACGTCCGTGACGAGTCGAATGAGCTGTACCATAGTCCATGGCATCGAACACTGAAATGGACTTGAGCTACTGGAGGCTCTTCATGTCCATCTCTTCAGTAGGTATTCTCTCCACACGCATCTGGAGTTTGCCGTTCCTCGAGCGTCCACTTCCACTTCCGCCCTGCGATATGAGGTTTCCTGGTCCCGTTTGTCTCCACTGTGTGTTTATTCTAGCCCGTGATGAGGATGGGATCCGTGCTCTGGGCAAGCAAGGAAGCACAGGAGATTCCTCCCATACAGCTGGGATCGCTACTACTGTATACCTGTAGGAAGCGTACCTCTAGAGGTTAATTCTTGTAGTAGTTGCAGCCCTCTTCAGGGCACTGTGAGAAACCGAGCCAGCGTGCTGCCTCTGTCGCTCCCGTCCCCTCCCTGCCACGCGGGCGCCCATCAGGTCATTGGCCACTGCTCTGCCCGGAGGTGCACAGGTGGTCCTGGCCGGTCCCCATCATCCCGTCCCGCCCTGTCACTGTGTGGCAGCGTTCACGCCCACGTCCACTCTGGGCAAAGAAGCCCAGTCCAGTCCATTGCCGTAACACCGCAACATTTTGTGAAATTGCACTTGCCATCTTCTCCTTTTCCAATCCGAACGCCCACTCCACGACCTCCCCACGACCTCGATACCTCGCTCTCACACGGCCAACACTACCTTACCTCTACCCGACTCCATCTCCATCTCCAACCCATCTCTCAGTCGCCGCATTTTTGGTGACTGGATAGCCAATCCCATCAACCATACCACCACTATTCTTCCCCAGTCAATCCTCTGAGGTAGACACTCCCCTTATTACCCTTTTGCTGTTTGTTGGTACGGACCCGTTGTCGAGAAATTAAAGGCGCCAACCGCCAGCTGTCACCATGTCTCTGCCTGCCGTATGTTTTGTTTGTTTGCTTGTCTCGTTCTCGTCGTTCTCTCACCGTCCTGGCACTCCATCTTCGTGTCCTCGACCTACAACACTGCCAATTGCTACCCAAATAAGCTATCCGGTTGCACGTCATGTTCACTAACACCATCTCCTCCCGGCAGAAGATGATGCGCCGCAAGAAGAACGTCAAGAAGGGTATCCAGTTCTGCCTGATGGTCTGTGGCGCCTCAGGAACTGGTGAGTCCTTCCAACCCCCAACGAGTCTATCCCGTCGTGCCCTGATCAAGGATTAACCATCACGTTATCTCCCAGGCCGTACCACCTTTGTCAACACCCTCTGCGGCAAAGAGGTTCTCACTCACAAGGACTCCGATGATCCCGCAACCGCCCACGTTGAGGAGGGCGTCAAGATCAAGCCCATCACAGTTGGTATGCTTCGCACTCCAGTCGAGGATCCTACGGTGCGAGTGGCGGTTGTCTAACTATCTATACTACAGAGCTTGAGCTGGACGAGGAAGGGACGCGTATCGCCCTTACCATTGTCGACACCCCCGGCTTCGGTGACCAGATCGATAATGAAGCCAGCTTCTCCGAGATTGTTGGCTATCTCGAAAGGCAGTACGATGATATTCTTGCGGAGGAGTCGCGCATCAAGCGTAACCCCCGCTTCAGGGACAACCGAGTCCACGCCATGCTCTACTTCATCACCCCGACCGGCCATGGGTAGGTTTCACTTCTCCTGTTACACATCTTGACACATCTTGAACCGCAACTAACATGTGCTACAAGTCTCCGTGAGCTGGACATCGAGCTTATGAAGCGCCTTGCGCCCCGAGTCAACGTTATTCCCGTGATCGGCCGCGCTGATACGCTCACCCCAGCTGAGCTTGCCGAGTCCAAGAAGCTAGTGATGGAGGATATCGAGCACTACCGTATCCCGGTCTACAACTTCCCTTACGATATCGAGGAGGACGATGAGGATACTGTAGAGGAGAACGCCGAACTCAGAGGTCTCATGCCGTTCGCTATTGTCGGCTCAGAGGATGTCATCGAGATTGGTGGACGCAAGGTCCGCGCTCGCCAATACCCATGGGGTGTTGTTGAGGTTGATAACCCGCGCCATTCCGACTTCTTGGCTGTCCGCTCGGCCTTGTTGCACTCGCATCTCGCCGATCTGAAGGAGATCACCCACGATTTCCTATACGAAAACTACCGTACCGAGAAGCTCAGCAAGAGCGTTGAGGGTGGTGCTGGAGTGTAAGTGTTACCCGGAAGCTTCCGATTGCAACCACGTGGCGGATACAGTACTAACGTTGATATAGTGACTCCTCGATGAACCCTGAGGATCTCGCATCCCAATCCGTCCGACTCAAGGAGGAGCAGCTGCGTCGTGAGGAGGAGAAGCTTCGTGAGATTGAGGTTAAGGTCCAACGCGAGATCAACGAGAAGCGCCAGGAGCTCCTCGCCCGCGAATCTCAGCTTCGTGAGATCGAAGCCCGCATGCAACGCGAAGCGGCGGCGGCTGCCCAAGCAGGGACACCTACTACCAGCCACAGCCATCAGGAAATTAACGGTTCCCCAGATGGAAACTAAGCACCAACGACACTAGCACTTACATACCTAATCTGTCGTCTCTGTTTACATCCACATGAACAGCTTCAATACCCCACAGGGCGACCGGGTCATTATACGCAGGCGTTGGTTCTTTGGTGTTGTTTGTTGTTTGACAAAATATTCCCCGCTATTTTGCGACTTTTTTTTTTACTGGAGATAATGGCTCCAAAGAAGACATACGATGGTGACGACGACAACACGGTGAGGGGTTCAGTCTCGACAAGGGCATTCAATCAAGTCGGTATTCAGTGCAGCCTCCTCAAATTGACGGGGATACCCGCATTGCGGCATAGGAGCATGTCTTCACCGCAGAGGTTTCGTGTCGATTAGTCAGTGGAACTGATATGCTCAGCTTGCCTGCCGTCGACGCAGCAAGAAGTACCGAAACAGACTGCTCGGGACAAGAAAAAGGCCTGGGGACGTATTGACGGGAAACGATTTCTACCGTATGACTTGTCTTGATTATTCTAGAGGCCTTAGGTTTTGTCCAACACCTATGGCACCACCCCGAATTTTCCAACTTCTACTATTGGACTTCTAATGCAGATATCAACTAAATTAAATGCACTTCACTTGTCTCGGATCATTTATATAACATTGAGCTAGTGATGAGCATGTGTGTACTCCTACGGCACAGAGATGCTAGCACTTGAAAGTTATTGATCTTGCCAGAGTCGCATTTTACGAAGTTCATGGCTACGTGCTTCTGTTGCTACGACACTTGATTGCCACAGATGATGTGGCGCGGGTAAGAGATGTTGGGAGTGATAATATCATATTAGGTCGGAAACGCTGTTTTTTTTTTTTTATAATTCCATAGACGATATAAAGAGGCAAGTCCTCCCCGTTGATGGTTTGTGTTGCTTTTTGGTCGAACATTTCTAGCTTTAAAGCTAACCATACAGTTGCAAACCCATTTTACCAGGTAGAGACCAATTTGAAGCGCAATCAATCGAAAACCGAAATCCAACGAGCCCTATCCCCGCATGTGATCCCATTTCCCATTACCATCCGTTTACAACCCTTCCCACTGAAATGTTTACAAACCCATCAGCTTGAATCCGTCTCGTACCCGTCTTCTTCCTAGTTATCCGACTGACTGTTCAAAATTCTCAAAATAGCCAGAAACAGATTCAGGATATCCAGATACAAACTAATCGCTGCCGCAATCTCCTCCTCCACATGGTACTTGCGCATTACCAGCTGGGTATCAACCAGAATATACCCCGAAAACACCAGCGCGGCGACACCACCATACACCAGCTCCGAGGTGCTCGTGTGCGGCAGAAAAACGTAGATAAAGCCCGTGATAATCAGACCCCAAAGGGCGCCGCCGAGGTACGGAATCCAGGAGGTGAAGTCGTACTTGGTTTGGCAGGCGAAAGCCGTGAGGAAGACGAAGATGCCGGCGGTGATGACGACTGCGAGTAGCACTGTGGTCGAATCAAAGAAGGAGACGCACACGGAGATTGTGTAGGCTTCCAACAACGTGAAGCCGGAGAGGAACAACAAGTTAGTGGGGTATGATTGACGCTTCCAGAAGGTTAGGAGCATGAAGACGAGAGCGCCGGCGAACTGTGAGCAAAATAATTAATTAGTAACTGTGATTTGCCAGTGGGAAAACATGATAGAACCATGTTAAAGTAGCAAGGGAACGAAACGGGGGATCATGTAGGGTGAAGCGACGGAACGTACAGAAACCCAAATCATGGCGGGATGAGACTGGATCCAGTTCCTATAACCATCGCTGAGGAAGCTGAGCGCACTCACGGCGCCCGTGGCGATGAGCTGGACCGTCAGAATGGTATAGACCTTGCGGATAAATTGGTGGCGAATTTCAACCGTGGCTTCGGCGACGGAGCCACCGAACTGTATTGTTGTGGCGGTTGTGTTAGTTGCAGGGTTTAATTATATCCTGTATTGGTATTATTCGGTAGAATGGTTTCCCGTACCTTGAAGTCATCGGGAATATCGTGATCATCGTCCTGACTGCTGCGCGGAGCACCAGAGAAAAGGCGAGCCTGATCACCGAGGACGGCGTTGGCTGCGCTGCTCTCGGCTGTTGCTTGGTACGACGGAGGAGGCTGCGGGTAGTAAAGGTGGGCATCGGGGTCCTCCTGCGGAGCAGGCGTGTACTTGGGTCCCGACATTGTTTTGGTGATGATACTCTCTCGGACTGTTGTCGCGATGTTTAATCGAAGCCTTTGAGGCGAGCGAGAAGATGTCACTGGACTGGGCAAAAGAGATGGACGGATAAAAAGGTCGTTTCTAGGTGATGTAAGTGGACGGCTGTGAGCTTATAAGAGGGCGCCGGGCAGATGTGATTGATCCGCTGATGACGGTGTTGTAGTGCAGCAGCAGCTTCTGGGTGGATATGTAATGGATTTTAGCTGGAGGACCTGGGGCGGGGATGATGGACATCGACCTTGCCGGCTGCCTAGACCCATGACGGGTTACTATTGCCCAGAAGTGGCGCAGCGAGTCACAATCCCATGAACGACTAACCGAAATGCACAGAAACTTGGTGTAAATCTGTTATGTCCGGGTGACTGTCCCGAACCTTCCACCATTTTATCGAAACTTCGTCAGCGCCAACCTGGAACGGGCTGTCACCCACCTACGTCTGCACCTTTTCCAGGTTGTTGTTGGCCCTGCTGACCAGTCGAGCCCAGCTTACACTAGAAAGATGATGACAATTAGGGTTAGGGTTTAAGTGTAAATGGCTGAAACCACCAGTCACTCCGCCCCGCCCTGATCGACACCCGACAGACGAAAGCGACTCCACCAAATCGGAAGGGACTGGCAACGGTCCTCCCTGCGCGCCTGCGTGGCTCCCGTTCCCCAGCTCAATGGTCCACAGGCGCAACAACGAGCCTTCTGTGTCACGGCATATGTGTCGTCTGTTGGGTTGCACTTTAGCATGCGAACTGAGCGCTGGAGCACCTGGAAGCAACTCGCGTTTCGGGCAATTGACGGCCCGCTAGTACTGTAGGGAAAACACTTGAGAAGGTCCAGCTCACCAGGGCGGTTCCCGACTCTTATCGACCGACCTATGCGGCCTTCTCATCTGTTTGCCTTTGACGACAAAAACCCTTTCGGCCACCACTCCACGATCGCAGGTTCAGCGCGCCATGACAAGGCCAGACCTCTCATGAGAAGAACTTTGAGCCCGTCACTGCGATATCCTTCCCGAATCTATACCTACGTCTCGGGTACAGATGCGATAGTCTCAGCGGAGCTCTTAACCTCAACAACAACAAACATCGGCTCGTGCCGTTGAATTCCTTCAAACTTGGTGGATACAGACGGAATTGGGAGCACTCTTCAGTTACTATAGGACAGCAGAGACCGAGCCTTAAACATGGCGGCCAACACGAACAGATACTCGACCTACACGACCGCGTCGACGGGTTCCGACTCCAGAAATGGCGAAAAGGAGAAGAAGGAGCTCTGGAGCTCCATGTTGGACTCCGTTGCCAGCGCCAAACGTCTCCCCGAAAAGAACATTTTGCTCCTCGGTGGTAGTGTTGACTCCCAGCGCGAGTTCTTCGAATCCCTTTCTAGGAACGAGCTCCGGCGCAACACCGACCGCCAGGGCTCACGCAAACCACCCATCGCAAACAGCTTCGCCCTCGGATACACGTATTACGACGTCCTAGATGCCGACCAGGAAGACACCCTAGCGCGCATCTCTCTCTACACCCTTACCGACCCCTCGCCCGCATTTGCCTCCCTTATACAGCCTCTTATCACGCCGCAGTCGATACCGAACACGCTGATAGTTATCCTGCTGGACTGGTCACAGCCTTGGAAATGGATGCGCCAATTGAGAGAGTGGATTTTGCTGTTACGAACCGTCTTTCAGAAACTCAACCGCGAATGCTCGGCAACTATGGAAGAGGTCATGACCGTTTGGAGGGAACGAGGTCGAGGTGGAGGGCTCAACTTGGATGGTACCAGTGCTGTCCCGACCACGTCTGCGGATGCTGATGTTTCCCTTCCGGTTGGTCCTGGAGAGTGGGAGGATGCCTTGGGTATGCCACTTTGCGTGGTGTGCCAGAATGTGGGTTATTCGACTGGAAGCTGCGTGGACACAAGCGGGAAGCTAACGTAATGATTCAGGCCGAGAAGATGGACCATTTGGAGAAGACTCAAGGCTGGAAAGAAGAGGAGTTTGACGTGGTGCTACAGTTCCTCCGAACGATTCTCTTACGGCGTAAGTCATGTCCATCCGGTATCTCTTTACTCAAGGACATGGAACTGACAGATGCTGTTTCAGACGGCGCATCCCTCATCTACACCACTCCCTCGCTGCCCTCACAACTACCCACTCTAGTGCACTCCAGCCTGGGCATTCATTCTCTGCTCAAGAAGCAACCACTCAAACACAACGTCATCGACAGAGATAAGATTCTCGTACCCCCGAACTGGGATTCTTGGGGTAAAATCCGTGTGCTCAGGGAAGGATTTGACGTCGAGTCGGTCAGCTCCGGATGGACAGCGGATCTAAGCATACCGTGGCCAAGGCAACCCCAACGCGTCGCCAATGGTGACGATCAACAACAAGGCGAGACAAACGACAACGAGACTGGTGATGAAGAGCAAGAACTTGACGAGGATGAGTACGAAGAGCCAACAGAGCCCGATGGATCCTCTGTCGCATTGTACGAGGCTTCTGTACAAGATCCAACCATGGACGCGCTCCATATTGCCGGTTCGAGCAGTCACTCGACCAAGTTGGAAGTGCAGACAACAGAGACACAACAGTTCTTGGAAAAGCAGCTGAAGTTGTTAGATGTATACAAGCAAAAGAACGAGGAGCCAACCGGCCATCTGGCCAGGATAAAGAGCGCCAGGAAAACGACGTCGGACTCGTTGACGGCGGAGGACGACCACCTCAAACAGCAAGCCGAGGCCAAGGTCTTGGAGCATATTGGCCCGGTGCAGTTCAACATGGGAGGCATTCAGGTGGATGCCGACGACATGCTCCAGCGACTTAAGGTAAGTTTTTCGTCTTGTGGTAGCCCACCATGATCTGCTATCTTTGTCATTGATCAACGTGCACCTGCTAACATGCTCTCTGCTTAGGAACGCCAAGCCTTCGGCACCTCGCCCGAACCTCTTAGCCCCGAGGACGAGACTGTGGAGGAGACTCCCCAGATGGACACCGAGAACCTGCAAGCATTCTTCACTGGCCTTATGAACAGGAGCCGGCAGTCATGAGCTCCCAACATCATACCATCCCTAGTAATACCCATCTACTGCCGCTGTCTTCCCGTTGCCCGTTCTGCCTGTTGCCTCGTGTCCCATGGTTCCTCTTCCCCATCATGCGCGAAATAATATTCCAAGGCAACCCTTTTGAAAGGTTGTGAGCATTCTCAGCTCCTGAATAAGGCACATTGATGCTTGAGCGTCGTAAACTTTCATACAAGCCGAGTCCATACCATCGTAAATGATATCACACTCCAGTCGCTGACGGATCTTGGCCTATGGCTATAATGATGTAGACACATCCTAAAAATGTACTATACCAATCGACGCACAGAACAATAGCAGAAGCATGTATTCAGTCCATATATATCGTTATTGTACATGAAATCGCAAGAACAGCGACCGTTTAGTAGCGGGTAGGTCAGACACAGCATCACAGAGGTGCAAACGAGACAATGATGAAAGTAACAAACCCTAACAGAACAACTTGTTCAGCTGGTCACTTGACGACCAGCATCCCAATGTCACAATTTCCCAATGTCCCATTACCCAAATGTCCCAGTGTCCGAACGCCCAAACCTCCAGTCCAAGCCATCCACCACCCTGATTCATTTTGCCGATGGTGAAGCTGCCTGACTGAATACATACAGCCTAGAGTCTTGAATGATCCGTCAGCTCAACCATCTTGAATCGCCGCCGTCGGCCTACAGGTAGTGACGAGGATGATTCACGCCAAGGTGCTCTGGTTAGTAGCAAGTCAAATATATTACAAAAGCCTGGGAATTGATCCGAGCGATAGATTTATGAGGACCGACATTCCATGTTGAAGTGAGATGCGAATGGGCTGTTTGTGTTGTGGGGACTACAATGATAAGATCACAGCTTGGAATTGTTATGAGGCGAGATGAACTAGGAAAACGAGAGGCATCCATTGAGATTATATCCGGTCTCCCTCAACATCTCTTTCTCTAGAGGTAGCCATGACTTCCCTGCTTTTCTCAAGCTCGATTCTGAAACGTGAAATGTCCAACGAGCCGCGATCACAAGAAGCCATACTGCTCACCAAATATTCGCAACCAACTTACCACATTCAAAAAGATGACGATTGTTACAACTGGGCTTCCCATCCGGGTCAAAGCCACGCATAAAAGGCGATTACTTAGCAGCAAAATCTTCCTCACCGCACACTATGCTCATTGCGTACACACTATTCCGCTGTGAAGATCCAGAGATATGGCAGAACCAATCGATACACTGCCAAATAAATTTACCACCGCTGAATGATTTGAATGATTTCTAGAGGTGGATTGACTACTGCGGAGTGAATTCAATCTTGTTGCCTTGTCGAGAAGTCATTCGTTCTGCTAATGATCAAAGGAGGAGCATTCCTTCGACACCAACGGCTCGTCAACGCTACCAACTCTCCGGAACTAACAACGCCAATACGCCACTTCCGCGCTTCTACTAACAATAAACAAAAATCTCTATGTTTATGAAAGGCGTTGCGAGCCAAGTCTGCGGCGCTTGTAGTGAAGCTTTGAAATCAATGATCCTAACGGACATGTGAATTACAGAGTTAGTTGTATCCTCCCATCACATCAGATCCACATCCACACCACATCTACACCCAACAGCTCTGAGACCAAGAGAAGGAGTCAACGTTGGGCAAAAGAGTGCAGTTTGAGCAGGAACAGCTTTGTCGAATATGGAGACGTTTCCACATTTCCCCCTTCCTTTCTCCGTATCAATTCTCATCCTGCGAAGGAGGGAAAAAGCACGATCGAGTTCAATATCTGTATAGTTCCAAGAAGTCCTCATCCATTACAGCGACGCTTTCCTCCATCGCCTCAATTCATTGACCCCCTCTCTCCTCAACGCACCTGGCAGTGCGGCCTAAATCCAGCTTGACAGCACTTCTTCTTCAGCTACTGCACTGTGATCTGATCAATATCGCTTTAGGGCACTGACGACACGGGTTGACTAGCGTTCTTTGCCTCGCCGACGGTCTTCCTCATTTGCATCCTCCATGTATCCATTACCGCGTCAACCGATTCTGCTTGATCTGACTCAACTGATCCTTGGTACAAGTGATAGGAGCACATATTACTGTAACAACGCTCCCAGTTCCACGTTTTCGTCACATCATAATGTATCCCAAATTCCAAAACACCCACCGCTTTGTCATCCTGTACCATATGTACCCCATATGTACCTGTCTCGTGCTGCCATTCTTTCCTTTCCAAATGTGCCAGAAAACCCCCCATTTTATTGCTGATTGATCGAGCCTTAGGGAAGATTCAGACCATACATCATATTCATGCAACCCATGACCTGAATAAAGTTCGTCTCTATGCCATCTAACGTCTCATTATACACATCTTCTCCCTATTTTTTTTTGGAGAATGAACCGAACAGCTTGAGTTAGCAAGAGATCTTCTGTCTATTTATATGGGCAATGTAGGTAGGTAGGTAGGTAGGTAGGTAGGTAGGTAGGTAGGTAGGTAGGTAGGTAGGTAGCAACCTGAACGGATGGTAGGGGTCAGGCATACGAGGGGCTGGGATCTGATCACTCACCCGTCCAAGTTTGCTGCCGACCTCAACAAGTCTGTTGACTATGATCATGGGAGAAAAGAGTTATCATTCGTAGTTGACAAGCCTAGCCCAGTTATAGACTTCCCCCCGAGGATAGGTGTGTGTATACTGTATAGGTAGGCAGATGGCGCCCACTTACGAGTCATCTCAATCTCATCCAGCAAAAGCCCAACCTTGATCCACTCATTGGTGGAATACTTCATAGCCCCTTGGGCGAAATAATCCCGGCGAGCCACGCTGAGTTTTTCTGGCAAGACAGTCCTCCAGATTTGGAAATGAGCTATGACGTTATCTATTCTCACCATCATCTGGACGGGGAGCATTGCCGAAAGAATGTTCTCGTTCAATAGGATGTCGACCTTGTTTTTCAACAGGGTAGCCTTGCAGATGTACCTATCGATGGTGGCACTCATCTTGGTGTACGAGGTGATTTAGAGCAGGCGATTGATGGGCGCTGAGGACGGGATGTTTAATCGGTAGACCCGTTGGTTGGGACGAGGCGGTCTTGGTCAATGGTGGTCGTGATTATGGGTGTGTCGATCGTGATGACTGTTGATAATGACTGTTTGAATAAGAGGACTGTTGATTTACGGTAATCAGAGCATTCACCAACTGTTGAACATGTCATTGCTGATGGCTTGAAGACCGAACCCAGGGTGATGGGAGCATTTATCACGATTGTCAACATCGGCGGAAAGCGGTTTCTCATTTTCTGACAGCTATCTGTCTACTTCACATATGGCGCCTTCTTTTCAATGAGCTCAGCAAGCGCGAACTACTGATCTAGAGAACCACAAACGCAGTTAAATGACTTCGAACCTGTGACATAAGGGATTCGCTACTGTCAGTCCAGTAGTGAAAACTGGGTTCCTTCCTGTCTCAATGTGGATGGGCTTGGTGGAAAAGACCACCTGCACCCGTCTCAAATGTACATGCAACCAAGTCCTCTCGCCCAGCAACCTACCGTATATATTCTGGGCGTTCGCTTCTAGCTTCCAGGGAAACCATGCAGAATCTGTAAGCATACAATTTCTGGCAGACATGAATACTGCGGTATACTTACAGTTCATGCCTGGTTACCCTGGAAGCTAAGAACGAACGCCCTGAAATTATACGGTACCATGATCACTCCATGCATACCTAGACAAATCTACGCCCTACCTTTTGAGAATTCTTGATTAACTGCTCTTCATACGCCATGAAGACTGTCTCCCATCCGCCCCTAATTCAGGGTACTATATCCCAAATTCCAAAACACCGCTACTCCCATCCTGCCAAACTCGAACACCTCATTCCCAACAGCTATTCAATGATCCTATCGTTTTGTCGGTGAAATGGAGGTACATACTTCGCGGAGACAGGCTTCTCGTAGGTGGGGGCCAATTTGAGGTCCACAATGTCGGGCTGCTTGGGTGTGGACTCGCCCCAGGGAAGCCCCAGAGCATTGCACATGTTCATACGATTGTTGAGGCATATAAAGGTTACCTCGACGATGGTTGGAGCGGTTTCACCTCCATCGGCAAAACCTTCGTGCTGTTGTTTCCGAGCTGAACCAAACGACGTGTCCAAGTTAGAGAGGATCTTTCTTTCTTGCTGCTTAGGCCGGTAGATAGAGGTGAGGAAGGGAATAGGTGATACAGGGGTTGGGATCACTCGCCTTCGGAACCCTGTTGCGCATGTCCATAATTGTTTGGACTGTCAACTCCACCTCCGCCAGCAACAGCTCCAACTTAGCCAGCTCTCTATCCCATCGACTAAGATAGCTTAAATTCTCACGAGCAACGCTAATCTGTGCTTGAAGGATTCAAAGCGTCGAAATGGAGCAATGACCCAGTCCTATTTCATACGAAAGAAACACGAACTCATCCTTGCGTATGATGGCGAGCTTCGCACTGAGCATGGCGAGGTTTCGACTGATATGCTTCAGTACTGCGTACATCTCGGTGGTAAGAAAAGGGGACGATTGTTGGTAATGCTTGTAATTTTTTGATTCACTGGGAGTCGTTGAAATATATTCTTGATGAATGGTGACTCTGATAACTAGGCATTGAGTATGATGACGATCCAACGATTTTCGAATAAAATGACTGATGAAAATGTTGATGACGGCGAACAAGATCGAGTTCGATGTTATGGGAAATAATCCTAAGAGAACCTAAGGTCATCAAGAGAAATGTACCTAGTTTCTCGGTTGATGACAGCCTTTCATCTACTCCAGCTAGCGCCTTCCTTCAGAGGACCTCAGCAGCGAGAAACGACTACTTTAAAGGAATATGACCGCAGAAGCTTGACTTCCCAAACAGGTACTCAGCACGATTCACGAAGGAATTGGCAGTGTCGTTCCAGCCGTAAGAAGCGAGGTCTTCTCTAGTCGGGTTTGTGGTTTGATTTGTCGATATCAGGGGAAAAGACCACCACGCATGGCACCCGGACGTGCTGTAGATGATGCCATCCAGTGTCAGTCACTGAACTCCCGAGGCTAAACATATCCTGTCTCGGCCGGCGAGATAGGATGTATCAAGGACTCGCGTCTCAAATCAAGCCAACATTCCTCTGATTAAGGATCAAAACCTGAAAGGGGGACTCGGCGACATATTTGCTGACGCGTGGCTGTTGGCATATGTTGTGATAAAAAGTGGAAAGAGCTGGATTTCCCGCGCTGACCCCCATTGCCCACGCACAACTGCTCTGACCTCATTCACTGCCAGTCATGTTGGGACAAATGCGTTCCGTGAATCTTCGAGGTAAGCGGACACTCTCATATTTGAAGCTGTTCCCAGTGTACGATGACTTCGAAATCGAAACCGCTGTTGAGTCAGAGGAGAAAGAAACAAATACCGAAGCTTGGCGCTGCAGGACCTTTGGTCAATAGTGATATCTGGAAATTCAAAGAGACGATGCAGTGATCGAAATTTCTTCTTTGAACAATTGAATGATAACAAGAAAAGACAAAAAAGAAAAATAAAAAAAGGAAGAATTGGAAAAGCGGTTGCGCGATGTCAACAGGGGTGGGATAGGAAATCAAACTCAAGGTCATGGTAGGTCGCTGTGTTGAACCCTTACTCGATCGATAGTGGTAAACTGGTCGAGGTTCTGTGACAGCACCTAGACTAAGGACTAGCGCATCGTATGACTTGACAAAATTACCCTGATATCGATGAAGGAGAAGAAGAAGAGGAGGAGGAAGCCAACCTATATTTGGATGGATGGCCTCGGTTTATAGCGTTGGTTGACAAGCCATGAAGGGATGAAAGCCCAGGAATACCAGATGGCAACACAAGGCTCTAGCACGTGTTGGCAAGTGATGTTATCACAGACTTGGTTTTATCCAGAAGCTCCGACAGTCAAACATCGATAACCGTGACAATTGATTAGATGGTATCAACTCCATTGCGAAATCCGCTCACTATGCAACTATTTTCATAAGGATCAATAAATCTTCCAAAACTCCGAGAGATCTGAGCGCGTAGGGCCGTGGCAAGAATCCTCCTCCTTCCTTCGGCAGTAGCCACTCTATTCCACATGCTTACTCACGCGTATCCGCACCGAGCAACAGAGCATTCGCCCCAGCCTTGGGCATCTTCCAATATTGCCTCAAAGAAGCTGTCTGCTCGACTTTGACACGCGTCTCCCTGACACCCAGCCTCAAAGTCACAACGCCGGCCAAGAGACTGACAAACAGCCAGGGATACTGCAGAATCTCTGCCTCGAAGGCATTGATGGTTTCAATAGCCTGGCGAATGAAGGGTTTCTCATCGAGGATGGTGCCGAGACGGAAAAGGTTCGAGGCGGACACGGCGTTGGTTGACGGCTGAGACTTATCCATGCCGCTCTTAAGGCGAAGGATGGTGTGACTGAGAGTCGCTTCCTCGGTTGAGTAAAAGCCGCCTGTGTATGAATGGCGGAGAGAGGGAGTGCTGCCGACGGCCGGTGTGTCGTAGAAGAGTTCACTTTGCACGTCTAGGAAGATGTCAGTATCTCACCGTTGGGAAATGAAGAGGTTGAGGAACATTCGGTGCGTACCTTGCAGCTCCTTCGCCCAAACAAGCCATTTAACCTCCAGAGTCGCCTCGTACAAGTCAAGCAAGCCCTCAATCAAGAATGCATAATCATCCGCAAACGCCCTTGTGTCGCTCGGCTGGTTGAACCAGAACCTCTTCAGCACCTTTCTGCTCCGTGTACCATCCTGGACCCACAAGTTCTCCTTGATAAAGGTTGCGGCGTGCTGCGCCACCTCCAAATATTTCTGGCTCTTTGTCTTATCTAGATCTCTCAGCACCGCAGCTGTTCTCGCGAGCGCCGAAATCACCATTCCGTTAACACCAACCACCACCTTCTCATCTCTCGCAGGCCTGGGTCTCTCCTGTTCTCTGTGTGCCCTCAGCCGTTCCCGTGCCTTTGCAATCATTTTCTTTACATCATTCACAGGGATGCCGAACTGCTTGGACAGCGCCTGGATATCTTTTCCCCAAACGGAACACAGTACGTTCTGGTTAATGAACTCGTCGTGAGGGTCCTGGTCGCGGGGGATGTTCCCATCCTCGAGGACGTTCCAGTACGCTGCTGCCACTTCGGCGGACCCAGCGGGTCCAACCACGTCATCAAACTCCCGGCGCGTCCAGAGATAGTAAGCGCCTTCACGCATGTGCCGGTCGCCCTTGCGATAGAAAGAGTCTGCTGCCTCACTTGTAATGAAGCCGCCCCCGGAGGACTGAATCAGCGGGCTTGTGAGGTAATCGGCGAGATCGATCACTACGTCGGCAAATTCGTCCTCCAAAGAAAGCCGGGTCTCGGCGGCAGATGATTGAACGCGACCGAGCCAGGCGTCAAGGTATACGCCCAGAAGAAGTGCGTTTTCTCCGACCATCTTCTCAAAATGCGGCATGCTCCAGTCGCTAGTTACGCTGAATCGCATGAAGCCCGCGCCGACATGGTCCCTTAATCCACCATCGCGAATACGACGCAAGGTGCTCCGTGCCATGGAAGCGGCATTCTCGACTTCCTTGTCGCCGACTACGTCTCTCACCTCTCTGGGAAACTGCGCCAGCCGAAGCAAGAACGAAAGCCGGGCCGGGTTGGGGAACTTTGGTGTTCCGAAGCCGCAGTCCACCGGGTCAAACATCTTGAAGATCCTGTCCAAAGCTTCATCAAGCTGGTCCAAGTCCAGGTCAGCGCCCGCCTCTACGTCGGCTGCGGCCACGGGAGCTACCACGGGCACTGGTTCGGCGGGTGTGCCGCTGAATGTGCCCTCCTGCGCGAAATCCTGCAGCTTATGAAGCATCTCAAACGCCTCGCGACGGCATCGCTCCTCCTGCTCCACCCAGAACTTGTGGATCTTCTTTGCTATGGCAAGGAAATCGTTGTAGGATTCTTCACCACCACCGTTGATACTGGAAGCCTCGGGGGTCGCTGCACCGCCACCGACGCCGCTGGTACCCCCACGGGCAGCAGCAAGGCTGTGCTCGGTTCCGGGACCGGGCCAGTAGGTACCGCCAAAGATGGGATAGAGGTCGGGGGTGAGGAAAAGGTTGAGAGGCCAACCGCCGGTCGCGTTCACAGCTTCGCTATAGTTCTGGTAGATGGTGTCGAGGTCGGGACGCTCATCGCGGTCGATAATGACGGGGATGAAGGACGAGTTCAGGAAGGCGGCAACGGCATTGTTGGAGAAAGAATCTTGAGTTGTAAGGCGACAGTCTGGGTAGATGATATGGTGAGCAAAAAGCCGCAGTCAGAGCCGCCAGATGAGGTGGCAAAGGAAGGCCAGCGGGAACAAGAGACAAGAACATACGATGGTCGGCTAAGAAGCCAATATGCATAAAGATGGGCTTGTTTTCAGCCTGGGCGCGCTTCAGGGTATCGGCATTAAGCAGCTGCCAGGCAACAGGTGTTTTGGCATGTACGCGCACATAGGGACTTTGACTCTCGGCAGCACGATTCCGAAGCTGTCCAAAAGAGGCCGGCTGCTGAGTGTTGGAGGTGGCAGGAGCCCCGGGAATTTGCGACCCTGCTGCGCCCGGTGCTATCGAAGCATTGGCAGACACGGAACCACTACCGGTCCGAGACGGTAGGCTTTGATGAAGCTGTTGTTGGGAAAGTTGGTGTTGCGCTTGATTTTGTTGTTTCTGCTGTTTCTGCTGCTGATCTTGTTGTTGCTTTTGCTGCTGCTGTTGGAGCTGTGCGGACATCATCTTGGGCAATTGGCTGGCAGCAGAGTCGCTTTCTGGAATTGCTTCGAAGGCGACACTGAAAATGGGTAGCAGCTGAAGGGCAGGATGAGTCCGGAACGAACGTTTCCACTTGCTGGGGAAAAGGTGCGTCCGGAAAGTGAAACCGTAGATACTAGTAGTTGGGACAGAACGTAGGAGTAGTAACAATGACGGTTGGGCTGATGTAAACCACACTCGAATACTACCGTAACGTAACGGAATCGTGAAAAGAAGGACGGGAGAAGCGTCCAGAGAGCACAGTTGGAACTTGGGGCACAGGCAGCAAGCGAATCGAGTTGCGGGAAGCCGGGAACTGACCCAAAGGCGGGACGGGGCAGGTGGGGGTTGCCATGGAGGCGGCGGAGGCTACTTCGCCGTGCGTCAATGGATGCCGCTAGCAACCGGAGTCTTTCACCGGGCAACTGGTGCATGACAGTCCTTCGGATGCTGTAACACTCGCTGTGGCGGACGCCCGGTATGAGATTTACTCATTAGGAGCGGACCTTCTGCCCCGCCCTCCTTATCTCCCAACCTTATCTGGCGCTTCTTACGCAGTACAGTATGTAGTCGATGGGAACTCTCGTTTGGGCCGTGCGCTTATTGTTTACAATCATCGCAGCTGCCCCTTTTTGAAGCTGCATGGTTGACGCCAAAACCAACGACGAGGCAGGAGTACAATGAAGCAGCACCTGCCAGTGGCTACTAATCGAACTACATCATCATTCCACATCAATTCTCCCGTACCTAGGTACCCGAGGACCTCCTCTTTGGATAAATCTAGACCAATGAGTCACTTCGACTGCAGTTTGGCATGAACACGCCCAAAAGACAACTCCAACGTTTTTTTGCAGGCTCTTGAAACGGCCACAATCCGGATGACTTTTGACGTAAACTTGCCCAGTCATTGACTGAAACTGGTCGCGACGTTCCGGGTTTTGGCTAAAGTCCAGAGTACCATGCCCATCAGCATCTCCAAGTTGAGATCCCATTCCCTCCTTTTACCCTCATGCATGTATACAGGTAGGTAGCACTCCGGAACTGCCACTTGGGTGGCCAATCAACCAAGGAGCAATGTCCCTCAAGCCATCAAGCTGTCCGGGCATGCTTGGACTCGCAGCTCTCATCATCCGTCCATGACAGCATGCGCAGCTTCAAGCTTCGGTACCGTGAAACGAGGCTACGGTCTTAACCTGACTACGCTCACTGAAGCGGCTTCATCTGCTCGGATATCATTGCGCATGCTTTCCATTGTTGACTGACTTCCATGATATCCGCCGCGCCCCTGCAAACATGCTAGCTTGACGAAAAGATGAACACAGAGCATCGCTGGTGAGAGTCTTGGCCCGACCCTTCATACAAGAACTTCGTTTGCTACGGTTTCATATGGCGCTAGATATTGGGATTCCAGTATCTCATAGGCAGGCTAGGGAATATTTCAGTAGCGAGACTGGAACATCATCTCTGCTCCATAGCAAAGAGAGCATAAAAGTGGCTGGACAACATAGCCAGCTAGTTGTAGTGGGGTAACTAGCATATAAAGAAAATGAGAACACAGACTTCAATCTATGCAGAGTCCAAATCGATGTTGTTATGGTTGATCTTTGTTTGTTCTTGCTGTAGATATATTTTGTCATCCAGTTTTTTCGGCGATAGCGGAATGTCGTGGGAGGCCGAGATATGACGTCGGAACACCCGCAGCTTTGACATTACCAGAGATACTGACTGAACATAAGATATAGGGAGCAACAAAAAAAAAAGTAAGGAAGACGATAAAGAAGGAATTTTGAATGATATATGCAAAGACGACAAAAAAATACAAAAGAAATGGGGCCACCCGGGGATTGAACCCGGGACCTCTCGCAAGAATGCTCAGGATTGAACCCTAAGCGAGAATCATACCACTAGACCAGCGGCCCATTGTAAATTGTTGAAATAATGCGCTAATGTAAGTACCTATGTACAGAGTAAGCAATGTAATCGATCCTCCTTTATGAATAGTGGAATGTAATTTCGTGCTCAGGTAGCGATTCGTACATGTATTGCATGCGGTCTTTATAATCATTTGCACTTGCGAAAGATCATGTCATAAAGAACGATTAGATTTACTAGAATGCTACGTAGGGTAAGCACAGCTACAAATTCGAGGATTAATCGAGTCGAATGTGGTTGGCTGCATAGTGTAACAAGCGCACAAATTTATACCCCCCCACCCCCTTTGACACACAGTAAACCGGCTCTGTCTATTTTTCTGACATCGAGCCGGCGCGTAAGCTTCAGTGTGAACTTCTTATGGTACACTCTTGCCAGACTTTGTTCCAATCGGTTTGGGGAGTAATCATTCGCATAGTGTCGTCGGGCCCTGTAAATCACAGTGGCCCGCCCCTCTTGCCCTTGTGTCAGAGGCTTAATGAGCGGCACACCTTGAACTTGACAAAAGTTTGACTATCTAACAAACATCACCATGGCTCTCATTTTTTTCCACTTCATTCTACCATCCCTGGCTCTCATACTACCAATGTGCTTTTACTTTCTTGCCCACTGGAAAGTATATCCCCAACAGCTCCCTGGCATCCCCTACAACCAAACCGCTTCCCACCATATCCTCGGAGACATCCCCGACCTCGTAACCTCGGTCCGGCTTACCAAAGAAAGGAGAGAAGAGGGGGTTAGAAGAGTAATGCGGGAGTTGGATCGTTTCGAACCGGAGCGCTGGCTAGTGAGGAAGAATGTGAAAAGAGGTGAGGGCCAAGATACGTATAGGGAATGGGAGGAAAAAAAAAAAAAAGAAGAAGAAGAAGAAGAAGAAGAAGAAGAAGAAGAAGAAGAAGGAAGATTTTGATCCAGGTGCACTGCCGGTTTTGGCTTTCTCGGCGGGGCCGAGAGGGTGTCTCGTTAAGTTATGTGGCTCCTGTCTTTCCTATCCTCACTTGCGCATGTCCAGACTTTCTAACAGAAACATTTTACCACACTCACAGGTCGTCGACTTGCGATGCAGGAACTGAGAATGATGATCGTGCTTCTGACGCTCAGCTTCAAGTTCTTGCCGTTGCCAGAATCGTTGAATGGGATGGAAGGTCGGCAAATGGTGTTGCGCAGCCGGCAGCAGTGTTATGTCAAGGTGGAGGTTATTTGAAGCAACGACTGCGGCTGCTGCTTGTCCGGATCTTAGATGCGGTTACAGAGATTACAAAGACGACATGAGGTTTGCCTGGATTTTGGATTGGGAAATGGAAGACAATTTGTGTAACATAACATAGCGTTTGCTTGTATGAGTTGAGTATGCCCAATGTTCAACAATGAGTTATGCTTGACACGCTGCACTTTACAACAACATCCTCGTCACCGTCGCGAATCTGACTGTTGTTATCTCGCCGCCTCGCCGCCTCGCCGCCTTCATCGTCCATTCAAACTTGGCTAATTAGGACTTGGAAGCTACTTCCGCAGGTGTGGACGTTGGTCTTCTAGGAGGTCTCTCCCACAGCAACAAGCAAGAGATAAACGCAATGCCAGAGAAAGCAGTCAGCAATATGTTTTGCTTGTTATATCCTTCTGCATAGATTCTCCTGACCGCAGTCTGCTCTTCTGATGAGAGGTTTTGGATCGCAGAAAGGGATTCGGATATCTCCGTGACACGTGAAGGATCCAGAAGGCTCGGGAGCCTGCTTTCGACGTGGTTGCTGAGTAGGGTTGAGCTGTGGAGTTAAGGAATTGTGTTTCAGTTAGGACGCCTAGGTATACATGTCGTGGTGGAATGTAACGAAGTTCGAAGAATAGTGTGAGTAGTGTGGAGCTGGAATGGAAACGTACCAAACTGCGAGGGAAATTGTTCCCCCGAGGACACGGACTTGGGTGAGAGCACCCATCATTACGGCTGTGTGTGATTACAAGTTTGAGGTCAGTTACCGCCAGGATTAGTCAACGGGCAGAGAGCCACCCTGGTGTACGAATGGAAATGGGGGAGACAAGAGAGAACTTACGAAGATCCGTAGAATCCACCACCAAAGGCGCCAATGTCAAGATCGTACTCAGAGTCGAGCCAAAGCCAATGCCCATGATCGCTTCAAAGCCGTACTGGCTCGCTGGAACATGAGCGTCGTCTGCGCCCTTGATGGGCAGGGTCGGAAGCAAGCAGGTCAGGCCTACGCCAATGAGCTGGAAAACCGACCCCACGAGAATGATAGAGACCGGCGGAATGTTCCTGCTAGATGTCAGGTACCCAGACACGGCGGTCGCTACGGGCGACAAGAGGAGCAGTGGCAGAAGAGCAATTCCGGCTTTTTGGGGAGAATATCCGTAAACGGCTTGCAGACTTTGGGGGATGTTGACGACGATAGCTGTGAAGGGGAAGCCGATGAAGAAAGAAGAACTGTTTCCCAAAAGGCGAGAGAGAGTAAGTGAGTGATCAGTCAGTCAGTGTAGAGAAGGAGGTGGCGATGAGTAAAAGCAAAAAGTGGCACAACATACGCGAGCATGGCCGGCATCAACCGACCTTTGAGCAAACGGGGCGAGAAGACCGGCTCCTTGACCCATTTCGATCGTTCCCAGAGAAAGAAGAGGGCGCCTGTTACGAAGGCAAGAACAAGTGTCGATATGACGGTTGGGCTGCTCCAGGGATACCTTGTTCCGCCACTCTCGAGCGAAAACACTATGAGCATGGACGACGCGAGAAGGAGGACTGCGCCGGCGAAGTCGACCCTGCTCAGGTTAGAGGAAGTAACCTTGCTGCGCAGCAAAGCGAGAAGAGGTTGCTGTGGGTTTTTGTTGTTTTTATTGGAACCTGGGAGGAGCCACGCTAGAAGAAAAAATGCTAGACCTCCGGCTGGGCCACTGAATACTCGTGAAATGATTTTCCGTTGATTAGCGCCGGGCACACGCAAAGACACATTGTTGTCTCGAAACCGAAGGAGATGAGAAGCTCATACTTGAGAAAGAACACCCAGCGCCAGCTGCCGTTTGCGCTCACTACACCACCCAAGAGGGGTCCGATAATGCTTGCAAGTGCGAAAACGGTTGAGACGATGGCGATGTACCTGCCAAACTCGGCCTTGGGAACCAGAGTCGGCGCTATCACGATGGTCATGCAATAGATACCGGAAGCACCCATCCCTTGGAAGGCCCTGAAGATGATGCTATATTGTAGTGGTGGCGGCGGTCAGTAAGTAAGCGACCAGCTCTAGCTTGGAAAGGGGGCCCGGACGGTGACAACTTGCAGTTCGACGATATTGGTGGAGGCACCACAAAGACATGAGAAAATGACAAAGATGCCGAGACCAAGGAGGTACACGGTCTTTCGCCCGAAGACATCGCCGAGTTTGGCATATATGATCAGAAAGCCCGTATACGTGATGAGGTAGGCAGTGACAACCCAATCGCGTAGGTTAAAGCCGTTGAGCGTGTTGGTGATGGACACGAGCGAGGTGCTCACGATGGTAGTCTCGAGTGTCGACAGGAAGAGAGCTATCCACATGCCAAAAGTCAAGACGTGTTTTCTCCACCCGGACATGAAGGGGCCCTCGCTCGGCTGCTCGCACTCAGGACTGGCACCGTCGAGGTTGTGTTCATGGAAAGAAGGTGACGACGTTACTGTTGGTGCTGAGTTCTGCAGCGGTGCTTTCGAATCCAGCCGGTTTGATGGATCGCCTTTGGAGAGCATGGTGAGAAACTGTTAGTGAAAAGGTCGAGTGAGTGTATGTAATGTGTACGGTATGAGCTATGAGGTTGAACCGTTGAAGAAAATGCCGGCGTCTGATGTCAAAACGACGGAAGGAACTCATTCCAGTCAAGAGCATCAGCAGGAAATACCTCTACCTCTCGTCCAGGCAAACAGCGCCCCAAGACCAGTAGTGCTGTAAGTGGCTTGGGTCCAGACACTGACAACGATCCTAGGAGAAGATAGCGAATAAACAGCGTTCTTGCAAGGGATGGACAGCCCAGTACGTACCTTTCCATGCGTGATACCCGTACATAGATACCGGAAGGGCGGCCACGACGTAGTAGGGGGGTATGAATTCTTGAATTACGACTATTACATATGAGCTTAGCAATATGTGAGCGAGTGGAACATGAATACACATGTGAGCTACCTACTGAGTATACTTACTTTGATAAAGAGGAGTGTAACTTACCTAGGTAGGCAGTGTGGGTACTTGAACGTGTACATGCCTACGAGTAGGTAGGTAGGTAGAGCATAGAGGTAGGTTACTGGACCCTAGGTGAAGCCAATGGCTAGAATAAGCCCAGATGGTAACCATACCTATGATCAGGCGCCTCTTTTCCCTTCCTGTTCTTCAGTGTCTATCCGACTATGGAAGAATAGCCCCAGAACATCACTTCTCGCCCAAACAACACCTCATCATTGACCGGCACAGCGTCCATGGCTCCGTCGCACTTCGTTTGATCCGCACCCCCCTCGCAGGATTCTGTTTGGTGGTGGTCACGGTTGGCGGATCCACTAATTCGGGTAAGTTTAGCGCGTGGCCCTGGAAGCCTCCACTGACCGGCCCGATCCTAGCTCAGCCCTTCAGTGCTCCAGGGCAGTGCATGGTTTCCTAGGTGTGGGGTGTCTACATCCATGCCTCCATGCCCTGTTTCCGACGTTGCTTCTTCCATTCCCGTCATTCTTCTCCTGTTCTTCCACTGCTTCTGCCCTGGGGAAGTTGGGCCACAAAATGGAAAGAATTGAAGGGTGGCACCTATTCGGCACTACGGCATGGTCGATCAGCGCCACTAAAGATGTCCCTGTCAGCTTTTTGTTTCTTTGTTATCGGCGAGTCGGCCTCGTCGCCCAGTCCTTAGCCTGCATCTCGGCCCAAACATCCAAACAACTTCCAGCCGTGGAAACCTCTTCCCTTATGATAGCTAACCACGGCGAATAACAGCTCCAACTCTGGAAATCTGCCGCACTCTTGCCGCCCGAGGCCATGTCATCGAGTTCACGACTCTCGAGGGGCGTGCCGACCTTTTTGCGGCATACCCTTTTGTCTCAACCGTCCACCTGGTCGGCCGTGCCGTCACACCCAGCGAGGATCGGCAGCTTTACAAGTTCAGCAGATGGGACAACAAGACGCAGCGCGGTCGCAATAAGATGATTGAGTGCAAAAGGTTCTACGACGACCAGACCTATCTCGTCCGATATGCGCCCCAGCTTCTCCATCTGTTTCTCTGGACCCGATCTATGCGCAAGCAGGCTGGCGTCCACTCTATGCCCTCCCTCAAGCCCAAACCGGACAGTCTCGTGCTTATCAACTCGTTCTGGGGCCTCGAACCCGCAAAGGATGTACCGCCGCTCCTGCAACCCGTTGGTCCTCTTCTGTCAGACAGCTACACCCCACTCGATGACACCACTCACAACTTCCTAAACACCAAGACCTCCGTCGTCTATGTCACCTTTGGTACCCATGTCATTCTTACGCCCGAGAAAGTGGACAGGCTGATGCGAGGGCTTTGCTGTGCTCTTGAGCAGGGTTCGATTGACGGCATCATCTGGGCTCTGCGGGGTCCCACCCGTGATGGACTAGACCCGCAAAGGCCCTACCCAGCCTTGCTCCAAGGATCAAAGGATCAATATACCGTCCGTCATCTTTTAGCGAACCAACATCCATCTTGGCTCATCCTGGAGTACGCCCCCCAGAGGGCAGTCTTGGATCATCCGTACATCACCCTGTTTGTGACCCATGCCGGGCCATCGTCGGCCAACGAGGCCCTGTTCCATGGTGTTCCAATGGTCTCTATGCCCTTTTACGGTGATCAAATCCAACATAATCTTCGCCTGGTGGCCGCTGGCGTTGCCCAGGGTGTCGACAAGGATACTTTCACACCCGCCCAACTGGCGTCCACAATCTCTGCCATGATGGTCGATAGCGACGGTGAAATGCACATTATCTTTTCATCGGAACGGTCCGCTTCGTTGGTGTAACGGCAGGGAGATAGATTAAAAAACTTAAGGACGACTTCAATTAACCAGGCTTTCTAGAGCTCACCTCTCCTTCTTTAGAAAACAGTCGGATTCCCCGCCTTCAAATATCCCTTCAACGGCGTCGTCCCATTCCAAGCCAACTTGACCGCCTGCGCAAACGCCTTCGCCACGAGGTCCGCTCCCTCAGGGCTGGTGTGCGTATGATCGCTGGGATACAGACTGTTCGTCTTCGCGTTCCCCAGCTTCAAATACATATTCGCCACAGCCTGGTAGTGATCCACAAAGCTGGCTTTCCCCGTCCCTGCAAGATTCTTCGCTGCGAGGCTTGCATACCCCACGAACCTCACGGGGGTTCCATACCCGCCATAACTGCCTCCCTCCCACAGGTTGTTAGGTGTCTGGGAGCTAAAGATGACGGAGGCGCCCTTGGCAATGATCGCCTTAGCGGCGGTTTCGACGTAGTGATTGAACGTGTAAACATTTTCGCCCGTTTTACCTGAGACACAAACTTCGGAGCCGGTGCCGGGACAGTCGGAGCGGCCGTTGTCGGAAGCCGACCTAGGAGAGCCGCCGTCGTTGTGGCCGAACTCGATGACGACGATGTCGCCAGCGGTGACCAGGTTGGCAAGCTCGGTGAAGCGGCCTTCGTTGGTGTAGGAGCGGGCGGAACGGCCGGGGACGGCTTTGTTGACGACGGTGATGCCGTTGAGGAGAGGGGGAAGGTATTCACCCCATCCTGTAACAAGGGAGGGGAGGTTGTTAGGACCCTGAGTCTTTTTCGAAAATAGGAAAAGCAGGAAAAAGAATTGGACTAGGTGGCTAACTTACCCATGAGAAGACCCCCGGTCTTGGCCGTAGTGCTGTCACCGGCAAGGTAAACAGTAGGTGTTGCCCGCTTATCGACGGGATTCACGCTCCGCGCATCAACAATCGCAGCAGTGAGGCCGGCGATCAATGCCGTGGACGAAAATCGCATGGTGGGTGGAAGGGTTGAGGGTTGAGCACACACAAAACGTTGGTCACGGTATGCGTGTCAAGCGAGGAAAGCGTCTCGATAACTGGAGGGTAATAACATGGTTATTTACACAATTCGAAGCTGAGTTCTACTGTGAGATCCAGGCGCCAATCGACAATGGTACCGTACCTCAGGAAAATGCGACTCTTTGTCATGTGAAACGACGGCGTCCTCCCAAGAAAATCTCCCAATGTCGTTTCTGGTCGGTTAAAAAGAAGCCAGGTATGTGCCACGCGCTCGAATAAGGCATCGTCTCCCCTAGAGTGTGGGGAATCGGTTAAACAGGGAGGATGAAACAAACGCTGGCTCTTAAATGGTGGCATATTGCAATCGATCCGTTCGGAAGAATTATCGAACGCGACAGTAGCATCAAGGGGGAAAGTTGATGTTACACAAATGCGGAAACACTACGCAAAGTCTGTCATTGTCTCGGTCCACGGACGGAGATGACCCGAAACATACAAGATGCCCGGGAATTGTGGGCCGATGCCGAGCGAAGAAAAAGAATCCTGACGGAACTCGAAACTAAACTCTATCATAAGTCGCTCGTTATATATGTAGAGACATGTATGACATGACAAACATACGGCATCTTCATCCATCCAAAGACTGTCCCAAACACATCTCATAATACATCCCTCTCATCTCCAACAACTCCTCATGCGTCCCCGCCTCCGCAATTCTTCCGTACGAAAACACAAAGATCTTATCCGCGCCCTTTATAGTTGACAACCGATGAGCCACAGCCACCGTTGTCCGCTTTCTCCCCTTTGCATTTCCCTCGATTCCATCTCCATCTGCTCCGCCTTCGCCCTTTGCAGCAGCATCCAAAGCAGCCTGCACCACCCGCTCCGACTCCGTATCCAACGCACTGGTCGCTTCGTCCAGCAACAGCAATCTCGGCTTCCTAACCAGCGCGCGCGCAATAGCGATCCTTTGCCTCTGCCCGCCAGAGAACTGCAGGCCCTGGGATCCGCAGGGAGTAGCTAGGCCTTCGGGCAACGAGGCAATGAAGGAGTCGATGTTGGCCTGGCGACAGGCCTCGAGGATTTGCTCGTCCGACACAGTCGCGTCAAGAACGCCCATCGCAATGTTTTCTCTTATTGATCCCTGGTAAAGAACGGGCTCTTGCTGGACTAGCGCAATGTTGGCGCGGTAGCGGCCGAGGTGGATTTTTTGGTAGTCTTCGCCGTCGAAAAAAATGGTGCCGCTGGAGGGATCATAGAATCGCTCAAAGACAGAGATTAAGCTGCTTTTGCCCGAGCCGGACGCCCCTACCAAGGCGACGAGCTGGCCCGGTGGGATCTGATGTGTTGCCACTGATGTTAGTACACAAACAGAATTCGGCCAGATCATGAGGCTTGGGGTTGTACATACGCTGATGGAGACTCCTTTGAGGACTCGAGCGCTGGGACGGAGAGGATATGAGAATTCTAGAGCTTGGCAGTCCATGGAAACGGCGCCGTTGCTACGTTTTTCGGCATCTGGTGGGTGGTCGTCCTTGTTTTCGGGACGAACCGAGTCCCTGAGCCGGAAGATGAAGTTGGCGGCGTGCTGCGCCTTGGTAATGCCTATTCCAAAGTTAGACGGGTGCAAAATGTGGACACTAATTGGTGAGACTCACTTGTTGTGTACGTAAAGAATGTGGCTGCTGCTTCACCGGAAAAAATGACGGCGATGAACACTGTGTAGAATTGGGTGACGGTGTACTCTCCAAATGAAACCAATCGGCCGCCGTACCTAACCACGATGTGAGCTGGCATGAACCTATAATGGCAAGTAGAAATGGAAATATTTACCAAAAACCCAATGCCATCGACAGGAAGGAGATCGATTGGCTCAGAGCGTACCAAACCATCGTCCAGGTAAGACTCTTGACCGACGTTGCCGCAATAGAGCGCAGTTTATTCTCATATCTGTCAAGAATCTGCCGTTCCATAGCCAGTGACGAGATAGTTCGAATGGCCATAATAGCCTCAGAAGCAATGCCAGTGCTATCCGCAAACCTGTCCGAAGTATCATCATCCAGCTTGATCTCCAAGCGAATTCTCAGGTATCCTGAAAAGACAAGAGGTGGTAAAGCGCCAAAGACGAGGGTGAGCCCAAGTTTCCACCCAATCACAACGGCAAGGATGCAGCTCGAGAGCAAGTTGACCACCACGATTGCGATGACGCCCATGTTCATGGACAAAAGTTCATGCAGACTCTCCGGTTCCTTGGATAAATGAGACACCAAAGCGCCTGGAGAGTTACCTGGCATGTCGAAGAAGGTCATGTCCTGCCGGACGACGCAGTCAAAGATTGTGTACCGATAGAAGCGGACCATTTGCTGGAGGAAAACGTCAGTCTTCATCAATACCACGACGATAGGACAATGGGGACAGACCTGGGCGATAACGTTGCAGAACCAACCGAGCACCGCGTAGGCAACCAGGTTGCCAACGGCTACGATAAAGAACATGAGAGAAAAGAAGTTGCCTCGTTCGACCATTTTGTCACCCTCAAGGGCGAAAGCGTCCATTATCCGGGAGAAGATGATGGCAAGAGCGGGATATGTAGCCCCTAGATTTTGGCTGTCAGTGTTCGTGATTCCGATGAGAAGGTGGATGCCATGGATCTTACCTCCCGCGAGACAGCAAATACCCACCCAGCAAAAGGCAGGCCAAAGTACTCTTTGTTCTCGCATGAGGATGAACAAGCATCTCAAGAGGTTGATGTCGTCTTTCTTTGCAGCCCCTTCTTCCATGGCACTCGCATCAGGAACAGCCTCAACTACGTTTGACGTGGTGTTAGCTATCACAGCTCCTCCAATTTCAGCTCTGGTGTCCTTTTGAGGTTCGTCATCATCGTCAGGTTCTTGTCCGAGATGTTGTATTCGAACAAGGTGTGAATAGGTGCCCCCCAGGGCAACGAGTTGGTCATGGGTACCCTGCTCGATAAGACGACCGTTGGACATGACAACAATGTTGTCCGCATTTCGAATGGTGGAGAGTCTATGGGCAATGACGATCATGGTTCTCCCGACAGCAACGTTGTTGAGTGCCTTCTGAACAATCTGCTCAGCGTTAGGGTCGAGGGCACTTGTAGCTTCATCGAGCAAGAGAATTCGTGGGTTCGCAATGACGCTCCTGGCGATGGCGAGCCTTTGCTTTTGGCCCCCTGACAACATGGAGCCTCTCTGGCCGATTTGTGTTTGATAGCCCTGAACAGAGTTAGGTACGATCGGCGAGGCAGGGTGATGTGACATACCTCTGGTAGTTTCTCTATGAATTCATGAGCATACGCCGCGCGGCACGCATCTTCAACGAGCCGCTGCTTCTCTTCGTCGCTCAGATCAGCCATGGAAGTTCCGGCTAACCCATTCACAACATTCTGAAAGACGGTGCCTTCGAGCATGACCGGTTCCTATTGATGGTGTTAGCTGGGAAAGGGCTTGTGAAGGATCAAGCTTGCATGCTTACCTGCTGAACAAGTCGGACCTTGGTTCGAAGCCACTGAAGATTGTACTCTTCTATTTTTCGACCATCCAGTGTGATAGTACCGCTCTCGGGACAACCCCAGCGCTCCAGTAGGCCTAATACGGAACTTTTGCCTGATCCGCTAAATCCAACGATTGCCGTCGTTCTGTTTGCTGGAATCGTAAGGCTGAAGTTTTGCAACACTTTGATATTCGGTCTTGAAGGGTAAGCAAACACGACATCCTGGAGTTCGATATTACCTCGACATTCAGCTGGTTTGATGCCTTCCTCCGACAAAGAGTCGATCTTTGACTCGCGGTCGATGACCTGAAACATCTGATGTGCGGCAGCGGCAGCCTTCGAAATGACGACTGATTGAGGAGCTATTTGAGTGAGTGCCTGGGCTGCCAGCAACACAGCAAAGATGACAGTGACAATTTGTCCCGGCTCAGACACCTCTCCCTCCTTATACATCCTGATACCCTGCCAGAAAGCGAGGCCATATCCAGCGTACACGCAAAAGAATTCCACGGAGAACAAGACGGCGTAGTTTGGACTCTTCCGAGCACCGACCGCTTTGGCCTCGTCAAGGATAGCTGCATATTTGCCGGACAACTTGGGGAAGGCCCAAAAGGCATGAGCAGTTTTGACACTCGCAAACACCTCCTCGGCTAGCTTTGCTGCTCGGGAGTTAATGATCATAATCTCGTTTTCCTGTTTCGCGTCGATGCCCATGCAGATGCCGGTTACGATGACGATGACGGGCACGATGCAGATGGTGATGAGGGTCAACTTCCATTGTACCGCAAAGGCGACAACAAAGGCAGCGAAGAAGGTTGCAATAGCTTGGATGGCGAGGCCCAGCTTCTCCGATATTCCCTGATTGACGAGGTTGGCGTTAGTAGTAAGATGGCTGGAGATGGATCCGGCCTCGGGCAGGTCGAAGAAGGCAACTTCCTGGCGTATTGTTTGTTTGAGGAAGTCGATCCGAAGAGACCGTGTGATCCTGATGGCGTTGGTGGAGGCAAGGGTCTTGGAATGTATGTAAGTGGCTGATCGAGATGAAATCCCACATGGGAGGAATTCTTACAGTCCAGATGTATACGAGGACAAGTTTGGCGATGAAGAGATAGACAAAGTATAGTCTGGAAGTCCAAAGATTATCTCAGCACCCTGTTGCAAGGGTCAAACCGCAGCGGAAAGAAACGTACGTGTAGTCGTTGAGGCTGGAACGAAACTCTGCCGGGGTCGCTTTGCTGGTTATAAAATTGTTGAAGACAGTAACAAATTTGCCAAAGACAAGGTCCATCAAGGGAAGAAGAACACCAGACGCTATCATGCAAGTCAGGGCTGCCGCATGTGTCCACCAACCGATGTGGTCTGTGTACCTGAAGATTCTCTGGAAAGTTGAAAGGTGTCAACACATGTCTTGGATTGTTTGGACGCATCACTCACAAAGTAACTCTTGAGGCTCCCATCTTCGCATCTGTCTGATACATGAGGGGTCTCGTCTTCCTTTTGAGGCGCACCGCATTTGGGAATTGGTACGATGGCATCGCCTGCTTTTCTGCCATTGTCGGTCACTGAGGTGCTTGAAGGTGATTCTTGGACCACGGCCATCTTGTTCGTCTGCGATGACGTATTGCTCTCCGTCTCCAAACCCACACGCGTCTGTTTGCTATGTCACACCTGAACACGACTCTGACCGGTAGATATATAGTCAGGCGAGAAGCATCCATTCATCGATGGCAAGTTGGTGTCAACCTGCCGTCCCTTGGCACATGTTGGTGGTCGATTTTTGCAGCATAATGGTGTTGATCGCCAATACAAGCGATTTACAGGGGAGAGAGAAAAGCAGAAGGATCAAGCCGAGATAGCCAAGGCGCAGGGTCGTTTCCGCCAATTAAAATGTCCATCCAGGCCCAGGAAAAGAGCGTTCCGCACAATGGAAGCGAGCCATATCATGGCGTCCGAAAGGCCCCTTGCACACCTCATGGTAACATGCCGTGGTGAATCATAGTGAATACGGCGGCGATGACCGATCAAACTCCACATCCGGGTGTAGTCCATAAACAGTCGCCCAAGAAATCAGCACAACCAAGACGAGTGACAACGAATCAAAGCACGGCACCGTGGCGGATGAGGGGAGGTTGTTGAGTTGTTGAAGGTCCAAATAGGTTGCAGCAGTCTCGAATCGGTGAGATTGAAGTGTAGTAGTTCGAGTAACGTGGGGCAACGTCCCCGGACAGAGACGGGATCCGCGGGCCGCGATGCCAAGCATTAGGTGAATATGTAGTCGAAAGTCAAGACGAATGGAAGACTCAGCAAGTCACAGCAGCTTCCCATCATTGCATTCTCACAGCCTCAGCAGTCCTGTTATTTCAGCACAATACGAGGCTCCACATAACCTCAACTGCAGGTATCTACCAAATAGTGTATACCCTCAGAGCCACAGCAGTCTACAGTAGCAGGGCATCTGTCTGCACTGCCTCGGGTGCCTTCCATAGTTGTCGTCAGTGCTAATACGATCGTCCTCTTTTTTTCAACATTGCGCCAGGTCTCTTTCGTCGTTCTTTTGTCACGCACCCGTCCTTGAGGTTGAGGCGATAGGTTTTGTGTCAACTATCTTTGGCCTGCGTTTAATATGAACATTGATTCCTTGGCGACGCAAGCCCAGGCCACCTAAACTCCGGTTTGCACTACCGGTACAGTAACGGACAACCACTACAACCGTCACGGTCCTTTGGATCAGCACAACCTTCAAGGAACCATACAACACACATGGACACAGAACGAGAGGCTAGTGGCGAGAGGGAGGCGGCCGAGGGAAACCCAGCTGGGCTCAGCCCGGGGGCAGGACTAAAAAGAGCAGTAAGTCCCTCCCGTTTCGGATTCCGCAAAGTCCCACGTTTCCCGTCCGGCATGCCGAAGACCTAGAAGTCTGCATGACGGGGCCCGCTCCGGTCCGAGTCCGACCTCACGGATCCCGGTGTGGTGCCCGCGGTGCCCGACCCGTACCCGACCCGCATCCGACCCGCACCCGCATACGCTTTGGGCTTTCCAACTCGAGGCACCTTACTTCCGCATATCTTGTTCCCTTTTTCATGTCACCCCTATTGGAATCTCCTACCCAGCAATGCTACATCGAATGCACGGGTGCAACTGCTTCTTACTGACATATGCCAATCTAACAACAGTGCGATCAATGCCGGCTCCGCAAGGTAGGTAGGTCCAAGGCCATAATACTCTCATCAATGGTGCAACAAGTCCTGGTATTTCTAACCAAGCCCCTCCTTCCCTTGACTACATAGATTCGTTGTGACAAAGAGTCACCGTGCTCAAATTGTAGGACAGCAAACCGGTCATGCAGCTCGTCCGGAGTAGGCCAGAAGCCCAAGGAACAACGGCAGCGAGTTCTCATCTCCGCGCAATATGAGCGCAAGATTGACCACTTCGGAACCCGGCTCACCGGTATCGAAAAGATGCTTCGTGAGCTGGTGGTCATCTCGCAATCCCGCAGCCCATCGTCTGAATCCTCTCTCGCTGGTGCCGGCGCCAACAACAACAACAACAACAACAACAACAACAATGCTTCTCCCTCCAGCGAACCCCCGGTGGCCATCATTAGCGACATAGTCGGCGATCCCGACCGGGGCGAGATACCCCTTGACGGCGATGGTGACAACGACGACGAGATGGACTCGGCCTTTGAGGGCAACTCTTCTATGACGGCCCAAACCGTCTTCGCCAGCGAGTTCCTCGAAAACGCCGTGACGCAGACGTCGCTCAGCCCAAGCATGGAGTCGGCCCTGTCGTCCCTCCGGCAGATTGTGTGCATGCAGAACCGTAAGCGGACTAACCAGGACTCGAGGTTTCCTAACGCGAAGCCGATGCCTAGGGGCGGCATGCGTGAGCTGCCTATGCCTCCGAGCCCGGTGGTGGTGGGCATTCTTCGGGACATCAAGAGTACGGAAACATTGAACCTGCTTTGCTTGGTGAGGAAAGGTGTAGCTAACTCGAAGAAAAATTTTTCTCCTTTACAGATGAGCTGCCAGAAACATTCACATTGATGTGCACATTCATCGCGGTAGATGACTTTGTCGACTGCTGTCGCAGGGTATACTTCGCTACCGAAGATTACAGCTTGGCGACCTTTATCGTCGTCAATGCCGGTCTGTTCTACCTCTTCCAAGAGAAGGCCACAAGGGCGGACGAGGCTCATCAGGCCGAAAAGCTGCTCGAATACCGTAACCTGTGCCGAGACAATCTCGAGACGGCCCTGATGGCATTACCTCTGTTCATGCCGGCAAGAAAGGAGAGTATCGAAGCATTGTTGCTGGCTGTAAGTTTTCTCTCACTGTCACTCCAAAACTCCTTCTCTTGTCTGTGACATAACACGGGGTCGCTAACCCAGCTCTTCCGCATAGGCTTCCTACGCCGTCGAAGCCTCCCGCTTCACCCTCGCCTGGCAACTCAACTCCTCAGCAGTCATGATCTGCCAAACCCTTGGCTACCACCGCCTTCCCACCACCATCTCGGGCGCTTCCGCCAACGACGACGTCTCCAACGACACCAAGTCCGCGCTCTTCTGGTTCGCCTATATGCTAGACAAGGGCCTCTCCCTCCGCTTCGGCCGCTCCTCCATGATCCAAGACTACGACATCGCCATCCCAAAACGCATGGGTCGGACCATCAACGTCGCCGACTTTTGGAAGGAGATGCTCAACCTGTGGATCGAGCACGCCGAGGTCATGGGCAAAGCATACGAGCAGCTGTACTCCATCGCGGCCCTGTCGCGACCACCTGAACAGCGCATCGAGAGCGCGCGCCAGCTGGTCGAGGCCATTAAAGGGATAGCGAGGGAAAACGACGAGCTGATCCGCCATGCGCGCGAGACGGGCAAGCTTGCTGATTCCGGAAAGAGGGATGGGTTCACGGTGACACTGATGCTGCGGTCGGACGAGGTCACGTACTGGGCATCGCTGTGTCTGATATACCGCGCCATTCCTGCCGCTCCTGGGTTCGGTAGCACCTTCAACCCGGAGTGCATCGAAGCGGCGCGGCGGGCTGTCGAGGTCCATTTGGAATGCATGCAGATTCCTGGGTTGAGCCATTTCACGAAGGTTGGGTATCTTCACTGGTAAGTGTTAACAAGGCCAAGTAATATACGTATTGTGAGGTCCCAGCTCTAACAAAACACCAACAACCAACAGGACGATTCTTTACGCCCCGTTCATACCCTTCATCGTCCTTTTCTGCCATGTCATTGAGACATCCAACATGCAGGATCTCGATCGCATGGATCACTTCGTGGCCTCCCTCTCCACCGTCTGCAGCATATCCGAGGCTATCGACAAGTTCAATCGCGTCTGTCAGGTCCTCTGCCACGTCGCACGCCTCTACGTCGAGACCAAGGCACAGCAACAGCAGGACCAAGACATGATGCTGGTCGGTCATGATTTCGACATGTACCTCAGTCAGCTCGGGTTCATGCCTCAGCAACTCCTCCACGATCAGCAGCAACAGCAACCGCATGCAACCTCCTGTTCGAACCCTGCCCATCAGCAGCGACAACACCAACATGGCGGCATGGCGGCACCAGGCGCTGCTACTGTCGTCACACCCAGTGTCTTCAATGCAGATGTGCCCGCTGGCCTTATCGATGCGACGCAAACAGCGCAGCTTGGAAACTGGTTTTCTGGCCATCGGCATATCATGAACTTGGTGGAGGAGGATTTATCGGGGTTTGAGCCGAGGATTTGGACGACTATGACCGGGGGTCCTTGAAGTAGAGAACTGGTGGGCGACAGATGTGTTGCGTCTTGCAAAAATATCCGGCGGCTTTCTGTTTCCCATTCATCATTTATCTTGGCGGTCTCTGTGCTCCTGTTTTTTGCGCGCTGGAGTTGGGCGGTATTTTCGGCAGAGTTGACTCGATAAGAGGATGGCGCAACAATTCGATCCTTCTGTAATAGCGAATTTGGCGTTCAAAGCTGATAGGCCTCATTACCAGAACCCGTCCATGGCTACTGCATATCTGTTGGTCGGATTGCTGTTGGTTGCACGCGCAGTCCCTTTCCAGCACACTTGGGTAAAACTGATATCCTCCAATGTCATTCCCGCTCAATCAGTCGGTTTCCTAGGATCGTAAACTTCGTATCCCTCGTCTTCGGTGTCGCTCTCAACCAGTTCGCTTCTCAGTGCCCTCTTAATCCCCGGCTGGCCATCTGGCGCTGTATCAATGTTTGTTCCTGGAGCCGGTGCAGCAGTCGCTGATGTAGCCGATTTATTCTCCCCAACAGGAACAAAGGCGCTCTTAAACCCTGACTTTTTAAACCCGCCCTTCTTGAATCCACCGCCGCCGCCCCCAGCAGCACCAGCACCACCAGCCGCAGCTTCTCCAAGCTTGATGGAAATGACGCCCTCATTTTTTTGCTCCTGTCTCCTAGCACGTGCGGCAGCCTGGGGATCCCGCACCATCTGCTTCATATCCTTAAGGCGCTGCTTATGGCTGTGGTCGTAGGAGGAGAGATGGGCTTCATAGTCGTTCATGCGGCTGTATCCCTTTTGGCATAGCTGGCAGTAGAAAGATTGGAGGGCTTCGCGGGCAGAGGAAGTTTGAGCTGGTGGGAGGGTTTGGTGGCGCTGTTTGAGGGGATAGTTAACATATTGCCATCAGGATAGCGTGGGGAGCCATAGCTATGTGGCGACTTACTGGAGGCATTTCGACGGTTTGACGGTAATGTAAACGAGACTATCAAGTAGGACTGTTTTGCTTTGATCTCGATATGCGATTCTCGGGATGCCAATTATGATGTTTTCAAATTCGTTGCGTGTTGGACTTTGGTATGGTTCGTGGAAAGTGAACAGACGTGAAGTTGCAACTCGAGATGATGCGCGCCTGCGTGCGAGGTCACACCCCGCAAAGACCAAGAACTGCCGGCGGCACGAATCACAGCAGTTCGTTTAATGCAAGTTTGACGGACAGCAAGGAAACGTGGGGAAGCTATCCCCACACAGAAACTCCACCACACCGCCAATCCCCACTACACCAGGCGGTTTAGCGGATACCTTACCTACTGTCCTTGCGTTGGCGGGACCTCCAAGCTAGAGGTACCTACATGGACTGCGTACATAGAGGAGGTACTTGATGCTTGACCAGCGAGTGATCCACTTGAGGACCCCAACGGCTACCAGGTGAGCCAGTGAGGACCCACCCTCGCTCCAGGTCACTCAACAAATGCGCCAGTACTTACGCACCTAAAGAACCCCCGGCCGAAACCTCCAACCCATCTAACTTTCCAGGCCCTGTTTGATTCCTGACGACAAACCTGCCCAGGTCTCCTGAAATCCCAATTTGGACCACAAACAGCATCAGAAGAGACGAATTGGAAGTAAAACATTCTTAAGAAGGACCAACGAACAAGGAACGGTTGCGAGAGACTGGCGCAACCCGACGCTTCCAACCATAGCCAGTCCAGTCCACCCACCATGGATCCTCACGGCCTGGACCCTCGGGACCACCAACTAAGTCACAAGGCATCGCAAGAGACCTTTATCTCGCTTGTACAACTCGACCCAGAGCCGATACAAGACCTTTACCAAGATGAAGGTCCCGACTTTGACCCAACAAGAGATGCCTCGCCCTCGGAAGACGCCGCCGAAGGCGGCTCCCTAGCAAATTCGATACATTCTCTCAAGTCATCCGGATCAGGAGGGGCAGCCGGAGGTATAGGTCTTAACACAATGACACCACTCGGCTTAAGCGGTAGCGGTCATGGAGCGATATATTACTGTAAGAAGACCTCCTCCCCTCGGACTGCCACTTCTCCTCCCCACCCTGGGGGAAAATTGCGGCTCTTTCAGCTCACATCACCCTCCTCTAGTAACCCGCATTCAACGCTACTCTTCCTACACCTTCTCCCTCTTCGCCTCCCTACATCTCGCCACAACCTCCGTGATCCCTCTCCTCGCGCGCTCCGTCCCCGCCTCCGAATCCTACCTCCTTCTCGCACGCGAGATTTACCAAACGCCCCTCTCCGAGCCCTTGCTCGTCGCTCTTCCCATCGTCGCACACGTTGGCGCCGGTCTGCTAGCTCGCCTACTCCGCCGCCGCGAGAATCTCCGACGCTACTACGGCGCCGGCGACGAAAAGACACATATGGGCCTGGGGATCACCAAACCGACCGCTCGCTTCTTGCGCAGCGGCTGGCCGCGCCTCAGCTGGATTGCGCTCAGCGGGTATGGATTTACGGCAGTGGTGGCCGCGCACGCCTTCATGAACCGCGGTCTGCCGCTTGTGGTGGAGGGGGACTCGGCCAACATTGGTCTCGCGTACGTTGCTCACGGGTTTGTGCGACATGCGTGGACGTCGTGGGCGGCTTACGCCGCGCTCCTGGGGATCGGGTGCGGACACATGGTGTGGGGATGGGCCAAGTGGTTTGGTGTGTCGCAGGGCGCTGGCTGGGTGTTGGAGAGACACACGGGCGTGCCGGAGGTGGATAGGAAGGCAAGGCGGAAGAGGAGGAGGAGATTGATTTGGATCAATGCCGTGGCAGCCGCGGCGACGGCGGTGTGGGCGGCTGGTGGACTGGGAGTGGTTGCGAGGGGAGGGGAGACGCTTGGGTGGGTGGGAAAGGTTTATGATGGGTTGTATGACAAGGTGCCGTTGTTTTAGAACAAGCGGCTTGGGATGACATACGGGATGTGGAATGGGATGGGATGGGATGGGATGGGATGGGATGAACTGAAGGGGACGACAAGGCATTCGATTGGGGTTTTCGAAAGATGAGATGGAATGGACATGGTGCAGCGCAATGCACGCGCGCCCCGAGACACATGGGCGACACGACGGTGCATTCAAAACCCGTCTTGGCGTTCAAGATTACATATTAGGTTTTATGATTTTGTAAATAGCATGCATGGTTGACGCTTAGATGATACGTACCAAGACATGAACATGATGGCATCGACTCTGCATGAGGTACCCTACATGCTGCTGCTTGTCGGTGTGCTACGTACAGAATTGCATTCAATTCTCTTGCCTTTCGTCTGAACACTGCTTGACTGTCTGTTCTCGTTCCATTAGTGCAGCCTGAGTTAAGAGTTCCATCGCTAGGCACCCAACCGAAATTGATACGCGTTCAAAGTCATACAGGAGTATTGACGAGAAAATCGATCAAGGTTTTTTTTGGTATTTCCAAGCTTCTATACACTAGAGGTAGAGGTGCCGCCAATCCTTGTTGCAATCGCCTATCGTGCACATACAGGCATCTACCTATCTTAGGTTACTGTCAATGGCGGGAGGTACAGCATAACATCGCATTCCTGTTTTTCCGTACGTAGGCTTTGCCTCATTCGTCGTTCCTATCAACAACAGGGATTGTAGTATAGTGGTCAGTACTTCTCGTTGTGGTCAATTTGACATACAACGATCCGAGAGGACCCAGGTTCGATTCCTGGCAATCCCAACTTTTTTCTTTTTTTTCCTTCTTTCCCTTTTTTTCGCCTTACTGATTGGCCGTCTTCTATCAATCATTGTTCCTTTTTCTCCCTCCCTCTCTCTCCCTCTCTCCCTTTTTTTCTTTATTCTTTTTTTTTCTCCTTCGAACAGCATTTCAGGTTACCTCTTTTGTATATAAAACCTTGTAATATATTTAGTTATGCATGCATGTGCCATCCGTGTATCAACTAGCTATTCGACGCGTTGACTGTCGACAGACGGAGAAAGGTGGAATTTCCTTTCGTGGGATGCGTAAATCAAAGTATCCTACAATATATACAAGTACGCAAAAGATCTACTAACAGGGCCATTGATAATATTGAACGAAATCGGTGCTTGTCAGCTTTTTGTCTCTAGAGGTTGTCCGATTTGCGCATAGACTGAATCAAATGCCAGTAACTTGGGTGGTAGATCTAAGTCCGGTAAGAATGAAGAAGTGACCCCGAAAGTAATGGGAAATACGAAGGAGTTGGGATTGTTCAGAAAAGGCCCACTTGGATTAAGGAAGGAAATGACAGTTGGAGCCCAATGACCAGTCAGTCCCTAGGTCCCTGGAAGCTTTCCAACGCCTGTACGCTTCGATGTCCCCAAACTATGTGACAAAACTGCTATGCTAGTTGCTTCATATACCGAACCCAGTGTTGGCATAATTCATATTCGACCATCCTCCCGCAGCGCCATAGCTCCGTGTTTCCGCACCGCTGGTGAAGCACGTGTTATGCTGTATGATGTTGCTCTGGGCAATTTGAATCCGCCCCTTCTTCTTGTCGCCCACACGGTGGAATGTCATTTGAGGCTGTTCCTCCGTTAGACTCAGCGCCTGCTGCTCGGTGTAGCCAAGGCTAGCAGGCGGCGGCGGCGACGCCACAGCTACTGATAAATGTGACGGCAATGGCGGGGGCGGTCCATTAAGACGAAAAGGCGGATTCTCTCCCGGCATCAGAGGTAAAGAACAGGCCGGGGCGCTCTGCCTTCTCGAGAGCGTTATCTGTCCAGGTCGGAGAAAATGCAACGCTCTTGACGCCTCTTCTGAGACCTGAGTCGTCACTGGGGCAAGGGGCAGTTGATATTGATGACCCAGTGATTCTGTAGGGTGCCAGGTAGGTTCTGTAAACATTGAAATAGAGCAAGTGGTTCGTTGATCGGTAGGCGATAAGATGTAGTGTGGCGGGGGTGTGGACTCCCCTGGCGAATACCCTTCAGCCGAACTTATGTGTAATTCCGGGGCGAAGGCGCCTGCGTTGTCTATTCTAGGTCCAAGCTGTGAAGATGAAAAGGTCGCAATGGAGTTGTTGGGCTGGAACTGAAATTCCAGCTGTGAAGAAGGGGTCATTTGGACTGTATGAGGAGATAACGACGCGCCCGTCAACGAATGATAACTCGGTGTATCATCGAATGACTTCGTCTGGGTTGCGATGTTTGCAGATGTTGTATAGACTGCTTGACCCAGGGGCGATATAACGGCTGGCACTATATCGAAAGGATTCTGGTTCGTAACCGTCGCCCCACAGCGCCGTAGGTGCTCATCGAACGATGGCTTCTTTACGTATCTGCGGTTGTTAGTGACCAGGAACAAAATGCTTGCCGGAGTCTCTGCATGACTTACGTTTTGCTGCAATATGGGCAAGAAAATCTCTCTGCTCCTATGTTGTGGACACACTTTTCGTGATTCTTCAGGGCTTGGAACTACTTTCATCAACACTCGACATGATTCAGCCACCCTAATGACCCGATGGACTCACTGTCATGAATACGTCCTGACACGGCTCACTCCTGCATCTGAGAGTGCCTGCCCTTCGCCACATGGTCAACTCTTCGTTGAGTTGTGCAAGTTTCTTCTTCAACTCTGTCGCTTCCGCTTCCTTATTGGTCATTTTCAGACGTTCAATTCCCTCGTATAGTTGTTGATTGGTTGCCACGAGAGACGCGATGGCGTTTTCAGTCTGTTCCAAGGCCTCCCTAAAGGTCTGTACGCTTGAATATCGTTCAGGTCTGGAATAGTGTTGAATGCCGAGGGCGGAGTCATGGAGTGTTGTGAGAAGTTGTTTGAAGCGCAGCCCATCAGATTGTTCCCTGTCGAGGGATAAAGGGAGACACGCCATCTGCTCAACTGTTAGATGTGTTGGAAGTTTGATAAGAAAGTATGAAAACACACCTCCGGTTCCGTATGGTGCGGTCCAGATCGAACGTCCATGACGCCAGGGAGGTGAGTTGCGACTTGTGGTGAGATTTTCTTGATTCTCTGCCAATGTTGATGAACAGGAACGAGACAAAAATGAAGAAAGACGAAGAGGATAAGGTGACCTGTAGACCGGGCTGAATACGGACACGGAATTTTCATGATTGTTATTCACGGTAGAGATTGGTGGATGACTTCAAGACCCCCTCCTTGTCATCCTACACAGTGGCCCCCGCCACGGGGAGTTTTTTTGGGTCCCGGTCATGGTCAAGGTTGGCTCTTAGGGCGTTGGCTTGGTTCTAGCAGATCTTGCTCGGTTCGACAGCCCGCTTTCGCGCATGTTGGCTTGTGCGCACCATGTATGGAAGTTGAAGTATGCTATCGCCCGCCCGGCGCCTCTGATGTATAATCACTCGCTTGTGGCAGGGTGTAGGGACGACGAGGCGCCTGACTGCCATGTCCTTAGCAATATTGAGGTGCGTTTCAAAGCATGAAGTTGGAGCTACTTACTGGTCTGAGCCAGTTAGAATGAGCATTGATGTGACACTTCAAGGGGCTGTTCTTGTGCGTAATCTGGTGGGAAGGATTGGCACGGGGCGCATACGATGCCCTGCCGCTCGTATGTCTGATACCCTGAAGAGCTACCATACTCTGTTGGCGTACCTCACGCTGCGTCGTGATAAGATGTCGTTGGCGCACCATGCTCTTGAGTCAGTGGGTTGGCCAACCCATCACGGCCATCTCTTCGACAGTAGTGTGTCTTGGCGGACAGAAAGTTGACAGTCAAGACATGAGATCCTTGACTCACATCGAGACTACTGATCCCAAACGTTAAAGTGGTGGAATATCTTGTATCACCAACAAATGACAGGCATGACCCAACACAGAAGCTACTCAACGAGGCGTGCCAGATGGTATGGGGGCTGGCGGTGTCAGGGCCGCAGTAACCTCCATGATTGGCGGGGACGAATAGCACAAGCTGCCTCGGCAGGTCAAGATATTGTGTCATCCACTGAACTCCAGTATCGGGACTGCATGGCCGCCGCATCATACACGGTTATAGCTGCTTGGAGTTGGCACCCTCCCTTGTTGTTCACTACAAAAGTGTTACCGGGTAAAGAGTGGATCGGTATACATGGAACAGCGACAAGAGCTGGGTAGAATTCTGCTTTCGAATTAGCTTGAGTGATCCAGAACAATGGCAAAGCATTAGCTCTTACGAAGACCTGACGTGACTGAAGCGAGGGTCCAGCCATGTCTTCTGAACTTGGAAAGATAGACACAGGTTCAGCATATCCATCAAACACATAAAAAAAAAGGCTCAGTTTATTTTCGCCGTGCCACCTCAGATCGTATAGTGCAAGATAGAACCCCCCGTAGGCAACACCGGATCGATCCAAGATAACAATGCCGTCAATGACACAGTGCTGGATGTGTGGCAATGACACGACCGGCTGGTTGAAAAATGGTGATGGCCCGGGGATTACAAAGGCAATGTTCTAGAAGAAGATGAGAACGAGCAGGAGGAACAATGTGCTCAAAGGCCGTACGACACACACGTCTAGCTTTTTGCCTTGATGGGCCGAGTCTGAGACTTTCGTTAGCGTACACGTCTCGGACGGAGGCCAACAGGAAGGCCTGAATCTGCCCCCGATTGGCGGACGTTGAAGGTTTCTCAATGTCAGGGAGATTTCACCGGTTCGAGATTGGACGTGCTCAGGTCGCTGCTTCGAATCCGGGAAGAGTAACCGAATCAGGGTCGATTGGCCGTGATAGGCGCATGAAGGTCAGACGTGTTGGGGTCGGCTGGGATTCAATTGATCTAGCCAAAGCGCTGCAACCACTGGGACCGCTCTAGGATTGCAAGACTTGAGTATCCGTGCCAAATGAGACGCCTGTGAGCAGTACTATCCAGGAACCAAGCTAGGAGCTGGAATGGAGTGTGGCGTCGATCCCATGTTGACGTAGATTCAGAATGGTTGTTCACGAGGAGCATGGTACGTGTAGGATCCTACTGGATTGGTAGTGAAAACCAGTCTAGGCGGCACGCACGTGTATGAGAAGCTGCCGAGTCAATGGTGTGGATGATGATGTCGCTCCAGTTCGAGGGAGAGAATGGAAGGAAGCGGGAAAAGAGCGGGAAGTTGTCGACGGCAGACTCGAAAACGACCTGAGGAGACGACGTTGACGGTTGGCGGGCTAAGCATATTTGCTTCCTGATTGGTCAATTGCACGTCCCACCATGCAGCGGGCTGCACGTATGGAAGTCGCTGCCTTTTACCTTGAGGTAGTCTGTACTGGGGCTGGTGGGCTGCTCAAGCCTGTCGACAACCTACCTAACTAACTGCCCTCAATAACTTGGATTAGGTGGGGTTTAGCGGATTGCACCATGCGCCTGCTCACCTGGGGCTTCAGGCGCTGTGTCTCTCGCCACCATACAGCGTACATACCTACCAACCTCGACAGATTACCGGTTCAGCGCAGCAGCCTTTCCTCCATTCTATGCCGCATCAGGTTGGTTCTTAGACCCTCTCCTCTGGCGAGCCTGATCGGCGTCGGAATCCTCCGCTCAAACGGCTGCCGCCCGGACCATCCGGATGCTAGGCCTGGGCCTCACTCTGGATATCGGTCCCGAACAGAGCTACCACTCTCCTTCGAACCATCCGCTCTTTGCAGACGACCTCGCAAACTGAAGGCAGATCAGACTCCTTCCTCTTTCAAGTGCTATCTGGGGTATCATACGTACTCCACTGCCGGTTTCTCTTCATGCCCTCGGACCTCAAGTTCATTCAGAAGTTTTTTGCACCAGGTTCCATGAGCAAAAGGAGAATGATTTGGAGCAGCTCAGCAATAAGATGTATCTTGGCCGCCAAGTTACCAATGCTTGCTCGCCAGCCTTTCAATCCTCTGTACAGTACGACTGAGAGCCAGGGACCTAGTTACATGAAGATTCTCGTCATTAATTAGTGTCATTCAGGTCTCTACCGGGCTGGGCCACTCAACGACCCTTGATCAAGGTACGTGCTGTGTACCAGCATTTATGTTGGATGACAATGCCCTTTTGAGGATTTTGGCTTGTCAAATTCTCCCACCGGAGCTAATAACAAAAGGGGCACCTATAACATCATATCTCCAATACCCTTGAATCCGACATATGCTCGCCGCTCTGTCTCGGGCCATTGCTGCCCCGGCGTGCTGGGGACAACAGCAACCCGCGGCGGTAGGAGAGTAACACTATCACCTTATCAACTAATAGTCTTACGGATTCGGTCTAGCCTTCAAACCGGGTTAATAAAGACTGCGAATATTGCGATTTTACCACACCTACACGGACCGTCAACCTACCAATGTAATAAGCACACATCTCCCGGCGCGTCGCCTCTGGAAGTACCACGAGATTTGGAACAATTCTCAGCACGTACACCAGCTGGTACATCGAAACACATGCAATGTCGCTAAGAAGTAAAAGGCGGACACTTGTCGTGTTTCTTGTGACCTCCTCAGATACCCGGTACAGTGAAAACCTCTGCCTTTGCTAATGATTCCGGCAGCCAGATTTCTTAGCGAAAGGCGGGTTTTAAGGGGGGTTTTGGCAAAAGGGGGGGGGTTAACATCTGCAAGGGCTTTTACTGTAATCGGTCTTTCGGGGTCCGCGACGCTTTCCAGACCCTGTCGTCTTTACCGGCCTGGCCAGAGCCTTCGGGAACAGGCCCTGGCAGCGATCCTCCGCATGTCAAGCACTTCACTGGGTCGTCGGTTGTGTAACCGTGACCATGGTGCATATACAGCACCCGCCGAGCCGCCTATGGGCTATGGCCATGCGATACCTATCGATCAAGGGTCAAGCTCTTCACGTCCATCTGACAACCCCATCGGTCTCCTTCTCTGCCACGCTAACATGCTCAGGCGATGACACTACTCGCTCTACCGCCACTGCTTCTGAGTTGCGGAACACCCATGCCAGCTTTCGAGTGATCCCATTTACATCATCACGCATAACCGACTGGATCAAGGGCGATGTTTCGCTTTACTGATGCTTGAACAAGAAGCTTTTTTCGACGCGATGAGGTATTATTACGTTGATGATGCATTGACAGTAACGTGGCAGGTAGCTCTGCGTCAAGATCAGTGCGAATCGCCAGACCTTACTATAAAGGAACAGAGACTTCGGGCTAGCCCAGGCCATCTAAGCGTTACTAGCTCACTCACTAGTCAAAAGCTGACAGCTTATTATCAGACGCCGACGTAGAGCATTTCCATTCATCCCGTCAATCCGATGAACGAAAGACGACCGACAGGGCTCGTAGAACTTGATCCGGGAGAAGCCTTTGTAAAGCTTTGGGAGGCATCTTAGGTCTGTGGGAGGTGTGGTTAAGTTGGCTAGGAAGTCAAGTGACTCGTCACCCTCTACGTTTATACGCTATGTTCAAGCTGTGTCGAATGGGTGGAAGCAACTGGCAGCTCCCACCGCCCCGCGCGACAGTGTTGTTCGGGCACACGAGGCATAGCTGAAACAGCGTACAGAAAACTGTTATCCGTGGACAATCGCCGCTCGAGGCATGATGATGCCACGTTGCGCGGGTTGATTACGAAACCGAGCACATACGGAGCTACCGTCCACCCAGGGAGGTTAGTTGTGAACCAGTCTATGTGCCTATTTTCCTGCTGAGTAGCAAAAGTTTCAGCCGCGGGCAAATCTTCATAGTGCGCTAACTTAAAGGATCCTGCTTTGATGGAAACAGTTGCTGGTAATGATTACGCGATCCCGACGATAGACACACATCACTTTGATATTGGCGGCGGTTTGATGTGCTCTCCAGGGTCCTGGCTCTAACACATGGACTACTATGCTGGTGTGCGGATTCTGAGTTATTAAGTCCTTTCCCCGCGAAATGAGAGCCCACAACTGACCCTTTTCCCCAGCAGTTTGTTGGGCTGCAGTGGCCCATAGCCCATGAAGCCTTGTCTAGAGGAGGATGATTTCTCAACTTGAGGATGATTTACATGGTGTATTACAGAGTTCACGTTGCTCGAGATGACTAAAATGCCAAATTCAAATCTCTCCAACTTGTACCGCATCTAGCTAAAACATCGCGAACTGGATTTCGATCTGAGCCGGATACATCTGATGTTTTAGGCCCCTCACTTTTGCTTCCCTCCATGCTATGGGCCAATAGTTCAACTACGACTTCAATATAATTGCGAAAACTTTCTGTTCAGCTTCTAGCATCAGAGTGTCAACCGCGAAGCACAAGGGAGAGGGAGGTATCTTCTAACTTTCGATCAAAGGTAGTTGAGGTCAGTCTTGGTCCGTCTCAGGCTAAAAAAGCAGTTCGTCTCAGGCTTAGAGTGGAATGAAAATACGATAAGCTTGAAGGAAATGTGATACCAATATTGCTTTTTGGTGGAACATCAACTATCATGTACACAGACTGTTTAGGGCGATCAGGTGAAGCACAATAAGAATATCCTCGGGACTTGAGTGTGGGAGACACAAAAAGGTACCACAACGTACGAGATAAATCTTTCCTTTGGAAGCTTGAGAAATATTCAAAAAAGAAAGGAAAAGAAAGGAAAAGAAGAAAAGAAGAAAAGAAGAAAAGAAGAAAAGAAAAAAGGAAAACAAGGACAGGAATAAGTCCGCATCACGCAAAGCACGATGAAAAAATTAATGCAAAAAAGTATCGCAACTCGGATACCGGGAGTCGAACCCGGGGCTGTTGAGAGAGCAGTCACTTCTGAGAAGTGAGAGTCAACGATGTTACCGCTACACCATACCCGATGAGGATGGTTCCGATGATTGGATGATGATGAGCAGTGAGTTTGACAATTACAAACACCAGTGCAGCAATGCTGGAACCATCCGCATCGTTATGGAACGAAAAGACATCTTAACACTGTGCTTTTCAATTTATCAACAGATATTGAGGCAGACATGTATCGTGATGTGCACTCCGCAATCTGGATAATGCAATGTTCACAAATCTTTCTTTAGACTGGCAAATTGGGTACCCAACCTATCTTCGAGTATTTTCGAAGTGACGCATAACTGTGCCATGGCATCACCGTGGTCAAAACATGACCGTTCATCTCAGAATCATTCACGGGAATCGAGTAATCAATGAGCTTCGAGACAAATTTTTTGAGAAGAAGTTGGATATTCATTGTTTGAAATTGAGAGGTGAAAAGAATTCCGTCTTGGGAAGGGACGATGGTTGTTAGATCCTCGC